TCTTCCATTAACTGCACGACGAAGGAGGGCAGTTGAAAAGAGACAGCGTTTCTGCAAACGATAATGCCCTGACCAAAAGAGTTGCCGTTATAAAAGCTAAAATGAATAGAATTTGTCATCAAATAAAAATTAGCAACAATATCGCTTTTAAAGCATTTACTGTAATCAACACACAACGAATATAACTGACCCACTTTTACAAATGTGAAAACGTCATCGAACAAACCAGATGACGTCACTATTGAAAAATCAATATGACGTCACCTAACAACGGGCGTGATAATGGGCCCTCGTCAAGCAACATTATTATGCCTCAAAGTGAGATTGACCAATCAGAGAGTAGAACTATTAATCCTATATGAGCTCGTATACCGTCAGTTAAAATCCAAGATGGTTGTTACTGACCTAATATGAGTCCGTATTCCGCAAGTAACAGCCATTTTGGATTTTCCAAAACCGCACGTAACATATTTAACATGTCAATTCTTGTACAGAAATTCGTCATTCGATTTGTATTTTAATATCATTAATTGTGATGTGCAAAGACATTAATTTTCGAAGAAACCGCGTTCGTGACTTTGTCAATAAAAATATTGAGAAAGAAAGCTTACAACGGAGGTAACTGATTTACAAATAGAAACGTCATAGAACATAATTTAGGATGACGTCACAAACAAGAAACGTGACGATAATGACGTCACATAGCAATAGAATTGATAGCAGCCCGTGGTTAGGGGAAGGCGGACTGCTATCACGTTACAGTTGCCCGCAGATTTTAGATAACATGCTGTAAAAATGCTATGCATTTTACCTATAATACTTGTTTAACGTTCACATTGAATGTATTATATTCCATTGTTAACGTTTATGTTTACATTAAAGTGTTGGATGGGAAAGATATGTTTTGAAACGGGTATTTATTTTGTGAACTATTTTAAGTGATAAGCACAATCTCATGAATGAATTTGCAGCGTTCCTAGACGCATACCTTGTCCACAGTGGTAGCAACATTAGTCAATATTAAATCGATAACTTTACCTGGTCTACTGTGTAGCAATCGTGATTGTTCGAGTATATGTTCATAGCTGGTACACACCTTATATGACCAAAGTATTAAGAAGGGGGATTATTTTTGACAAAAAAATAACCTTCATGTCCTCGTCAGCTCTCTCAGCATAGTGTCGGAAAGCGCACGTTATATCCGCACGATAAAGAATGGGCGATCTTTTTCAATTTATCTTCCCTTCACTAACCCGCTAGGTGCGCTGATCCGGACGGTCCAACCTTAAACTGACGGCGCATGTGGTATGCGCGATACGAGCACTACATGTTACTATGACGCCTATAGACAGTTAACTAGTATAACCTTCACCTCTATCGGCAACGGTCACGCTTGTGTGTGGACAGCATATCTTTTCGCCTAAACAATGATTGATCTATTGTCATGCCCGGAAATAAATGTTCCATGTTCCACGACTGATTATATAGTATAGTTAACCACTAGATAGGCGTTCGAAGCGGTGAGATCAGCTGATCGTTCATTCCAGGTTGCTTTGTTGACGTTTTGCAATCGGTACTGAAAGTGTTGGCCTTGATGTATGAATATCACACTTTTAAAAATTAAGTAGATTTTGTATACGTTCCTATATCGCCGAACAGGCTACATCATATGCATGCAATTCAGTTTGTACAGCGGTACGCGAAATGTGAAGGTCTTATGCAACGTAAAGTGTTGTGAATATTGACAGCAACACAGTATTTGTCAGTATTTGTCAGATATATAACTGAGAACAATGAGAAATGTTTTCAAGAAATTGTAAGAGAAACAGGCACTGTAAAATTATGTCATCAACTCGATATCAAAATACAATGTTCAAAATAAAAGAAATGGAAATCACTGAAATCTTTTTTAATAATTAATTGATGTATGTTGTATAAAATGATTTTATGTATGAATGGTGGCGGTTTGTTGCCAGATACTACCATGATTATATTTCAATACTACCAATGAAAGATATATATTATTTTGGCCTTTTTAAAATTTTACAAAATAGAAAAAAAAAATGTTCAGACACGAAGGACCCTATATGCACCTGTATTTGATTACACGTGCATGACTTTTTAGCAGTCATCTGTTTCTGAACTTAATATTATGCCAATAAAGATAAGCAACATAAAAAAGGCCTCTGGTATTCTTTCATGTTTGGAGAATCAATCAATTTCATTGTGAAAACATTTTTAATATCTTACATAAGTTACTTTGATCTTCACAAGATCAAATAGATTCAAATTAAATTGAGGAGATTAAATTATGCAGTCTAATTCATTTCAGTCAGTCTGTCTAAAATCCAGTCCTATTTTTCAGGCAATAATAAATGAAAAAAAATTAAGAAAAAATACACCTTGCCTGAGTGAATTAGTCAATAAACAAATTGACTGAAATTTTCAGTAAATATACATATTGGGCCTGATTATAGACACTGACTGTAACATATGTCAGTATAATCTGTTATATGCAAAAACAAATAACATAAATAAATACATTTATCTACATGGAATGATTGTGGGATTCAATTTGCATTTATTAAACCATCAGAAGATTTGATGATAAACTTTCTAAATTCATATTTGCTATATGATAATAATATCTACAACATATACTTTATACTAAAGGTGTCTTGAAGTACTGTTGAATGAAAATCAGGATACATGGCTATAGCAGGATAGTGTGTGGGTTTGTATGGGAAATAATTTGTCAATTAAAACAAATATAATGTTACTAAAACAAGAAGATGTAACTATGATTTACATCTATTTATGTATCATACACATTTTGTGGGGTAGTCAGTATGATTTGTTGTTTGTTGGGACAAATCTCTGTAATTTACTACTATTTTAAGAGCATGAGTCTCAGAATTCTGTAAGAAATGATGGATCAATGAATTAAACAACACCTATGATGACTCAGAGCACTTAATGGTGGGACACATGTTATAAGGGGCAGAATAATATGGGTAAATCTCTTATTTCAAATCATGATGACTAATGTGCATACTGCAACTGAGTAACTGAGTGCTTAATAGATGCATGGTAGTTAGTCAGTTGGCCACCAGCGGAAAAGTGGCTTAGTTTAGATTTTCGTTCTTCCATAGATCAATCTGAAGCAATGCCAAATCTGCTGTCAACACATGAAGAGGCAGATACACGAATGGTGATCAATGTCATGGATGCCACCTGCAATGGATACGACCACAGTGTCATTCACAGCCGAGACACTGATGTGTTAGTACAGTTGAAACGTCATAAACATCGGTTTTCTGCTCAGATATGAATGGGTGCATATCAGTTGATTATGTACATCAATCTCGCATTCTCTCAGATGTTGTAGCAGCTCGACCAGCATTCCATGCGGTCACAGGTTGTGGACCGGGAACATATTTATCGCACAATCAGATTTGTTGCAACCAACAGAAGAAACTGGTGCCTTCAACATGAAAGAGACAGACTCACTTGTCATCAAAGTGTACAATCCAGCATCGACTGCAACTAGCATTAATACACTTACAGCTGACATGTTTCACAGAGTTTGAGACCTAGAGGAACTCCCACCACACAACCTCTACTCAGATGTTAGCACCAGTGCATCACGTGGTGTTCTGCCCACAAAGGAGGGGCTGACATTCCACCACCAAAAGAGTATAGGTGGACGTCTACAGGCGATGTCATAGAACCCATCCGAATGACCAAGAAACGAATGCCAGCACTGTGTCTACAATTGCTCACATGTAAATGCACAACAGGTAAATGCTCCTCATTCAGGTGTAGCTGCGCCGAGAACATCATGGGATGTTTTCCTTTGGATGTAGTTGTGATATGTCATGCCTAACAGAAACAACTTACCTACCTCTCCAGATGACTCGGTGACTAGAGATGACAGTATTTCACATTTTATTTTTAATACTTCATAATACTACAAGTATTCTCATGTTTGTTTCTTCACTCAAATTATATACCAGTGAAATGCTCAGACAAAAGTGCAGTATATCTACTATTTTGAGTGAAAATATGTCCATTTTAATTTAAATCTAAATTTGGGTATGGGTTGAAGTCGCGAGAGAAATTAGCTTTCAATATTTCCTTTTTTCATTGTTGGGGATCAATTTACCACAGGTGTCAGTGAATGATGTACATCATTGAAAAGACAATGTGAAAAGCTTTCATATGATATATTACATGACCATGTTGAAGAACTATATAAGATCTTGATTTTGAAAACAGGTCAAAATGGCGGCCATCTTGAAATTCAAGATGGCCACCATAAATGCTCACAGAAAAACTTGAAACATCATTTTTCTTTATGAGTTTACTATTTTGGTGTTTTTAAGCATTGTTGCAATTATCCCACACATCGACTACAGCAGCAGCATCTACCACAATATCTCAATAAGCAATTTTCGTCAAAATTGGTCTTTGGGGGGTTGGGTAACATTGTATACAATATCTCAACCCCGATGTAATATATTTTCATTTTGTTTTTTGTATAGGATAGTACAATGGTTGAGGCAGATTTAAATACCCAGTTATAGTGGTTTTGTTGTCACAATTCAATGGAATTAGTGTTTTACCTACTCACAAGATTTGAAAATGAAGTAAAAAAACATGATTTTTACCAATGTTTCCATTGACATTTAGAATAACAGTTAAATGAAACAAAATGTTTGCCAAATTCAGATAAACGAACATATTACCTGTAATCAAAGACATAATTTGGATAGTTTAATGACTTAATAAAATGTTACAGCCAATTTTGTCAAATTATGCATTTTTCCTTCAATTTATGCAATTTTGACCCCCTGAAAATTCCTGCACACACTTGCAAGCTTACTACCCAATGGAAATTGTGTACAGATACCTCCTTTATGCAATAGAAAAGGTTTAAGGTATACAGGAAAATGTGGGAAAATCTTGTTTTTCACCCCTGGCCAACTGACTATACCTACCGTGTTCAGCACATTGAGGTCTCTCCAGTAATCTCCGTCATGTCTTCCAGCCTTGATGCTGTCCTCTAAGTCGTTTGCAAACAAAAGCCGTGAATTATTGTCTTCGTAGTAACTCTCTTCCAACACAACTTTTGTTGAAGCCAGTAATGTCTCAGATGTTTGGGACACATTCTTCAATTCTGCCAAATGCAACCTGGAAGATTTGCGCATTGAAATACAAGAATATAAAGTTCCTAGAACGGTCAAGAAAAAGGTCGTGACTTTGACTTTGTGCCTCATGCTGGCGCGACAGTTGATGCAAAGCATCAGTACAACTGTGTACGGCCGACGTGGAATGTAGTACACGCGTACGGTGAAATAGCAATATACACAGATCTGGTGACAGATGTGCCGACTGTCAAACGAATCGCAGTTAACACATCAGATATTGCCTCCACGTAGAGACACAAGGCATTGAAGCGTAGAAATAACGCTGTTAGCGTTTCATATCTCTATTTATTATCTTCATAAAATTAAGTGAATGTGTCGGAATGTACCTTGAATAGTTGCTCAAATACCCGATGGATAATCATCTTTTTAAGGATTTATTTTTATTTTACGCATTTAAGAGGATAACAGCCGTGCAGGTGCAGCCGCACCAGATACAATATTAAGGGTATAATGTGTGCGTCAGTACCGGGATCGGACAAGGATGTGTGCTCTCACCGTTTCTTTTTTCCCTTTTCATAAACGAATATACATGCAGTCCACCTAAATCATTTAACTTCAGAATCTATATCTCTTTCAGCACGCCATACAATCTGAAGAGACTACGTCATAACTGATGACGTATCAGTCATCACCTTAATACCGAATTCAGGTAGGAATTCTATATTCCGGGGAAGAAAATATATCTCACAACTGTAATACGTGTGCAACTTAGATATGACAACTGCAATAGTATGATAAACATTGCATGAGTTGGGAGTGCTCATACTCGCACGGGCCTTTTATTTCGCGTTTGATCAGTAAGGAAGACTACAAAGAGCTGAACTAGGAATATAGGAGAAATATCCGACTCATCTGTTTTAATTTTGGATCTATGCTTAAAGTGACAATACAAGTCTGTGTGACAAGGAGGTTGAATTCAGATTAACAATGCTCATCTTTTTCTTTTTGTCGAGCAATTTTCCAGCAGATTCAGCCCTTGCCGTCCGTATTTCACAACGTATTACAGCGTAAGCCATTAAGGCCTTACTAAGGCCTTCAAAAGGTTTTACGGCAGACATGTGGAGGACATTTCCAAAGTTGAATTTACCAAAATTATGTCCGTTGCATTCCCTATTTTCATTTTTACTATATATTTCCGGTTTATTCGCCTGAACACTTGACATTTCTTTGTCTTTGCGTGTGTTGATAACGGGTGCTACCCCTTGAATTGGGCAGGATACGCTCACCTTTCTGGGAATACCTGGTGCCATAGCTAATATATTCTTACACACGAGTAGATGTACGAGGATGGTTGTTCTCTGGCGTTGACCTTTTCAATAGTGGACAAAGTTGGAATTGTACAATTGGCTCTCATTTAATCAGAGATTTCTTATATGATGGAAGTCAGTAGTCCCGTGAAAGCCTGGACGATTAAAGACGATCTGCAACACTAGCTGTTGGAAGAGTTTTCAAACCGTTTGGACTTAACTCAGGAGACTGCGGTCCGAGACTGCTCTTCAATCAACACACCTCTATGATGTGTATAACGTCGTGACAGCCACATCAATTTACCCGCATTGCTCTGAACTAACTGCACATGTGACATATCACACTTTAACCTTTAATAAATTCGTATTTTAAAGTTTATAGGAATTTCGGTGATTTGATTGGTTTATTAGCTGCTCACATGACCTGTTCATTTTTCAACGAACTTCAAAACGTGACGTTTACAAAGTATAAACTTCACCTATTTACGTTTATACGATTTTTGACCCGAACTACTTTTCATGGGGAATCCCCGTGTTGAACATTTCGCTGCTGTCTCGATCCCCATGCTTAACACGATCTTGATATTGGACAATATTATTAACATTCCTATTTACACAATGTTTGATTCATACACTTATTCATATATTCGCATTAACCTGTGGATGCCAGAGGGACATATATGTCCCTCCTCTTCAACCCTCACGTTGAACTCGAATAAAATTGCTGACACATCACGAACCCGAATTCACTGCAAGTTTTCAGTTCTGTGGGAAATTCCCTGTTCTATGATATGTACTGTCATATTAAGCAAATGACCACTGAAAAGTTGGAACTTCGTAAACCTCGCCATTTTTTACACATTACTAAATTACCATTACGGTGTTTTTAGTGAATGTTTTAAAATCAAAATATCGGATATCTACTCAGAAAATTGCATTTCAAATATAGCATATTAGTGATCACTGTACTGATCACGGGTATCTGGGTATTTTTATCAATGATCATTTTGAAGCGTCGGCGATAACCATAGAATCGATTAGAATGTTTTGAAAAATAAGCGAACACGAACGCCGAAGTGAACTTGGACATTGTTTACAAAATCTCGTATGCCAGTTATAAGACGCCTTTTCCACCAAGCATATTTGAAACTCTGTGATACGTATATACCTGAATTCCTCGTACATTTAGAATCAAATGATAAATGGTATTTGTCACCAATTAGTCTATAAACTGTCTAGATGAACTCAAGTTCAATAATTAAGGTGTGAAAAAGAAACGCTGTGCTCGAAAACTGCACGTTTGAAATGTAAACAAAGCACAATTCAGATTTTACGCTGCGAAGCATTTTCTCCTAATTTGAGAGATAAATTTATCTAGACGTTGAACGCAATGGCTCGATTGTTTTAGACTATGCATGGGAAGAGTATCGTAGTTGAAATTAGGGAATTGAAATTAGATACATTACAATGATTTGGTAAAATCAACACAAATTGTCATGGCTTCCGTCCTGCGTAACGCCAAGACTGACGCAATATCACACACGGCAACGGTATTTATCGGCATTTCCGACTATTTCTCTGAGTTACAAAGAAAAACATAAAAACAAATAATACGTATATTGTCAGAATGTTTCTGATTAGTTACATGATTCATTTATGTATTTACGATCCCTGAATGAACGAAAGTCCCCATGAAAAATCTTGCATACTGATACATGCCATTTTGTAAAAGTCGATCTCCGTATGTACGTCAACATTCGTTGTACATATTTGGTCATTTCTTTGAGGTGAATGTCGGGTGAAAAAAGTAATTCATGTCTGATGTAAAATTATTATAAGTAACTCTTGTTGTTTAAAAATAATTTGTGATTTTTTTATGGAATTGGAACTACTTTGTTTTGTGTGTGAACAATATACCCGCAATAGAGTTTGTAAGTGTGCAAACAACCAACAGAACATGTTGGCGGTGTATTGTAAGGGTGTAAATAACCAACAGAACATGTTGGTGGTGTATTGTAAGTGTGCAAACAATCAACAGGACATGTTGGTGGTGTATTGTAAGTGTGCAAACAATCAACAGGACATGTTGGTGGTGTATTGTAAGTGTGCAAACAATCAACAGGACATGTTGGCAGTGTATTGTAAGTGTGCAAACAACCAACAGAACATGTTGGTGGTGTATTGTAAGTGTGCAAACAACCAACAGGACATGTTGGCAGTGTATTGTAAGTGTGCAAACAATCAACAGGACATGTTGGCAGTGTATTGTAAGTGTGCAAACAATCAACAGGACATGTTGGCAGTGTATTGTAAGTGTGCAAACAATCAACAGGACATGTTGGCAGTGTATTGTAAGTGTGCAAACAACCAACAGAACATGTTGGTGGTGTATTGTAAGTGTGCAAACAATCAACAGGACATGTTGGCAGTGTATTGTAAGTGTGCAAACAACCAACAGAACATGTTGGTGGTGTATTGTAAGTGTGCAAACAACCAACAGGACATGTTGGCAGTGTATTGTAAGTGTGCAAACAATCAACAGGACATGTTGGCAGTGTATTGTAAGTGTGCAAACAACCAACAGAACATGTTGGCAGTGTATTGTAAGTGTGCAAACAACCAACAGGACATGTTGGTGTTGTATTGTAAGTGTGCAAACAACAAACAGGACATGTTGGTGGTGTATTGTAAGTGTGCAAACAACCAACAGAACATGTTGGCGGTGTATTGTAAGGGTGTAAACAACCAACAGAACATGTTGGCGGTGTATTGTAAGGGTGTAAATAACCAACAGAACATGTTGGCAGTGTATTGTAAGTGTGCAAACAACCAAAAGGAAATATTGGTGGTGTATTGTAAGTGTGCAAACAACCAACAGGACATGTTGGTGGTGTATTGTAAGGGTGTAAACAACCAACAGGACATGTTGGTGGTGTATTGTAAGTGTGCAAACAACCAACAGAACATGTTGGCGGTGTATTGTAAGGGTGCAAACAACCAACAGGACGTGTTAGTGGTGTATTGTAAGAGTGCAAACAACGAACAGAACATGTTGGCGGTGTATTGTAAGGGTGTAAACAACCAACAGGACATGTTGCCGGTGTATTGTAAGGGTGCAGACAACCAAGAAAGACAGCAGGAATGTGTAGTCAAAACATGAACGTTTGAAATGACTTCACCAATAATGGGTCAAGCCCAACGATTGGTCAAACTTCGGTTTTTTGGAATGGCATGGTCCGAATCAATCTCTCAAGTACATTGTGAAGGAGTCTTGTCCATTCCTCTTGCAGCGCCTGGTCCAGTTCGGCTAACGTAGTGGGTGCCCTTTGACGTTGACGTACACGTCTCCCGACCATGTCCCAGATGTCCCACGTGTCCGAGCACTTTCTAGTGACCCTTCCACGGACAATCTGCAGTGCCATTCTGGCAGTCATTGGGGTCCCGCCTCATATCACTACAGACCCACCGCCAAATCTGTTATGTGGCCTTACGTTGACGTTCGCCTGACGTTGGTTAGGACGCCTACGTACACGTCCATGCTTATACAGAAAGTCCGGAGTGAATCTGGGCTCATCTGACGTTACACGAAACCAACCGTGATTCACCCAGTTTCTACGCTCTATACATCATTGGTGTCTGTTGACAGGACAGGGCGATACAACTCGTGGCTGCAGAGCATGCAAACGATTTCTAATCGTCTGGTCTATGTGGCCTGACTCAAGCGAACAGCGATTTGATTGGCTGTTTCGGTTCGATTTCGTAAAGTCTAATCTCTCACTAATCAGTTCTGGACCTGGGCGCCCTGTGTTGGGCCGATTATTAAAATGTCTGCAGATACCAGTTCCAAAGTCTGCAAATCATAGACTGAGACACATTCATATATATATAGACGATCGGACTATTAATTTGCCTTATGGACTACTATTTCCAACGTAAACGATATGGCACCATACTTCCTTCCCAACATCCATATATTCTACGTTAGCGCAAACACATGGTTTTGCTTTAAAGGTTTATTGACAAGAGCATGAACAACGTGCATAATCATACAGAAAGACAATACAAATGTGCTCAATTAAAGAGAGAAATATACATGCTGGTAAAGAAAATATATACAGTTTAAACACAGGGAATATCATATAAGTATAAGACAAGTAGTTAACATATGGCCGTACCGTAATAGATCACTACACTGGAATTGTGGCGTCACACTGCTCAGCACCACTGACGTGGAGACTTCTGACCCTATCAGTGACGTGGAGACTTTTGACCCTATCAATGACGTGGAGACTATTGGCGTTTTACAGATAAACACTGCCAACATCACATAAGTATTCACCTGACGGAGGGCCAAGGAGTAACTTTGAAACGTCGATACGAACAATAACGATTTTGTTATCCATAAAATGTTTCATGTTTTTACATATGGAAAGAAGGAAATTGTCTCCTACAAATACAAGAACAGATCTGGGCCTACCTTCAGAACGCATACAATGTCAGTTTTAATATACGGGAACTATACAACATGACGCTTCGTGGGGAATATTTCCTTTTACGCAAAGAACAGTTTTATCCGGTAAATTGTTAATCTGGGCAATTTCACAGGGAACTATGCTGTCCGCATTTTTAGGGTTTCGTTCAACTCATCAAATGTGTAACGTCCAAACGCCAGGAAATAATCAATCCAATATTCAATAACATGAAACGTCAAATATATTATTCAGTCGAATATTTGCCGAAACCGATTACATTGGGGGAACATCAGTGATGACACCGCGAAGAATCAAATTCACTTGGACTTCATCTAGTAATCGCGTTAATTTGGTCGGTACTGTTCCAATCGTATTAAAATCAGATCTTAGTTCTCGCTACCGCTAAACAAAGATCTGAGGACATCCCATTACGGGTCACGTCAGACCGACCTTACGCGAACTTTGCTAATTTCAAATTGGCGACTGCGCTTCGAAACATATTTTGACAAATTCTCGATTACAAATGTGAAACCTGAACAAAAGAACGTTCTGGAATGGCTAATAGATGATCTAGATTGTATAAATTCGGTCGTTAAACCCGTAACTATCGTTCGGAATACCCCGTGTTAAAGTTTTCGAGGTTGCATGATCAGAAATCACATTCCGACTGTCACTTTCATAATCTGGTAAGCGATGTTCTGATTAGTCGGATGAAAGGTCGTTCTGGCGTGACCCCTAATGGGATGTCTTCAGATCTTTGTTAAGCGGTAGCGAGAACTAAGGCCTAATTTTAATGAGATTGGTACTGTTCGCAATGAAATCATCCTGATGTGCTCCGGAAGTGACAGGTGTAAAACATACCTAACATTGTGTTTGTTCAAACAATCTAGTCCGCACATTCTACTCTTTGAGAAATCAGTTATAGTGCATAAATTCTAAAATTGCAAGAATCCTTTGACAAAGGTGCAAAATATGTACTATCAGAATGATAACACGCCGACCATCGTTTCATGGTAATTGGTAAAGCACTTATGAAAACAGTAAGCTTTACTTCACGTAAAGCCATATTGTGTTATGAATACACTTGGCAGATATATGTACAAATATACAGACTACGTGATACACTGCAGAAAGGCGAAAGGAACAATTATGCTAGTATTCAAAGCTGAACTGTTACTGATGTGTGATGTGACGGGACTTCGTCAAGAGATCGTGTCAGGAAAACTGTTTCAACCTCCATTATGACTCGCTAGACATCTTCCCGAGGCAAGAGAGTTAACTGACTATAAAAGTCCGTTTCCACCCTTGCCGAACTAGGCTGGTATTATGGAGTTACATTTTGGCTGGACTAACGAGTCCAATAAAATTCGCGCACCGAAATCGAACTCCGGTTCGTAAACTGTCGTGCAGATTTCGGTCGATTGCAGGATTTGCAAAGCATGTGCACCGCAAACTCGTTGTCAGCAGATATTTTCCAAATCTTTTCATGTTTTAAATCAAGGTGCTCACGTGATTTGATGCATTTCGCGATGTACGATCCGTTTTAGCACAATATAGATCTTGATTATCGATCAGATCGTTTTGACTGGGCGCCACCATTTTGTGTGAAGCAAACGCAAGTGATACGATAGGTGGAATCTGAATGGTCCATGGGAGAGGCTTAGAAGGGACAAAACTGGTAATAGCCACTGGTGGCGCTACGATCGAGCCCAATAATTCCAGCCTAGTTCGGCAAGGGTGGAAACTGGACTTTTATAGTCAGTCAACTCTCTTGCCTAGGGAAGATGCTCGCTATAAGGGCCAGCACAGATGTGACGCACACCTGAAGTGATATAGTCACCTGCTGATATTATGAAGTTATGCCTTAATAAATACACACCTATAACCTACACCGTTGAGGATTAATATTTATTAAATCAATAATATAATTTATTAATATTTAATAACCTTCGTAACACATATTGATATTATCTTTTAAAAGTCAAATCCACAATTATTGCTGTTGATAACATTGGTTAAGAACTTAAACATCTCTAAAAGAAAATTCACTCATCAAAATTAAGTTATAATTTATTGCCTAACCTAACTGTCAATGGAGTGAGTGCGTTGGGTTTTACGCCGCTTTTAACAGTATTCCAGTTATATCACGGCGTGTCAGCTTAATGTGGGAGGAAAGCCCCAAGTGATGCAGGTCTTAGACGTTTACCACTTCGGTGAAACCCACGAGCACGGGTATGGTGCTGACAAACCTAGAAACATAATCGGGGCGAACCGAGATTCGAACCCACAACCATACGTTCCTGGCGTGCCCAAGGGACGCAACTATGCATAGCGAATCGCGGCGTCTTAGATGACTTGGCCACCCGTGCCCTCAACCGTCAATGAAGGCAAAGGGAAATAGACTTCAGTTCGTAATGGCATTACTGTCCTCACAAGCCACAGCATTGATACCCACGTTGAGGATTACATTATTCCCTATACCGAACAAGGGCAGTGCTCTATTCTGGGTGCGGGCCCCGTGACACTAAGGGTATCCAGCTGCCACCCTGAATCACGGGACCTTCTTAGAAATGGATGTATTCTTCTAATCCTGTACTGACACAAACACGGGCTTTGGTTGGACATGTCTTCGGCCCTTCTCCTCGGGGATTCGCACTCCGCCTGGTCAATGCTGGCTTTAGGGCACATGACCGTCGATGCGTCCTCCGCCAGCAGTCGGCGACAGTTGCAATAAGGTTGTCCGTTGTAGGGGTTCTGCCTTGTCCACACTCTGTCACACTTGCCCATAATTGAGTTGCAGCTTCTGAACTTTTTACACGCTTGTTTCGTCGTCAGAGGTTGAGATTGGTCGTATTTCCTGAAACACGAACGAAGTGACAGTGAACCGAAGATCACGGAATTAATGATTGAGTTGTGTGAAACGCATTTTGACAGTATTTCAGTCCTACCTGCCTGCTTGTCATGTGAGAAAAGCCAAACACTGTTAGCAGATGACTTTAGTGCTGAATGTAAAATCCTCTTGGTGTTTTAAGGTAAACGTGTTTCCAAAAACCTTACAAAATTTCAACAAAATCAACATTCAAAATGGCGGATACTGTCATGGTAGCTTTGTTGTCGTGGTTGCCTCTTGATAAAATCAGAATATACAGAATACATAAATAATAAGATACAGAAGACATCAATTAATCGTTCCAGTTTCCCATTTTGTGAAAAGCATGTTTGCTGTGTATTCAGAGATGGACTGAAGCTTAGTAAAGTTTAATTAGAGGATAAAACACAATACGAGGTTTTGGTTGAAAAGGTAAAACCGTGAGAGAGGGAAGTTCGAAGGATTTTACATTTTCAAACAAAATCACGGACGACCGTTTCATCTGTCATATAAACCGTCTTTATCCAAGATATTCCAAAAGAAAGCAACAAAAAACAGCAGAATGCCTTTTACTGAAACAATAGCGTAGGGGTATAAAACGAATTTGACGACAGCTAGCGTGCCAGTGAAAGGCCACGCGCAGCATGCAGACAACTGAACGCTCCTTTTATCACCAACCTGAGTTTACATTTGTAACAGAATCCGATGGACAGATATGTCTGTCTTATAAGACAAAGGAAAAATCTTGACAACATATATCAACAATTTCATGTTTCCTTAATTTCCTAAGGATATAAGATATATCTTGTTGACGTTTGTGTACTTTAAAAATAGACTCTTGAAAGTTGTGAAGATCATCAGCGCCATAGTAGCTCTGTGGTTCAATCGCGAAGCTAGAGATACGAAGGTCTCAGGTTCCTCAAGTTAGCGATGTAATGTGAGTTATATGTATTGTGTTCGAATGCAAAATAATTCTCTGGTACTAAGGGACTTTCTAAAGAATATCACTTGGACCGGGGAACTTCTATAGAACGTTTCTGGGATGAGGGACGATCTATAGAAAGTCCCTGGATTATTCTATAGAATCTAATTCGGCAGCCTGGAGATCACGCTATCCTGAGAAAGACACAACCTCTAACACCAATAGGATGACGTCATTTGAGGTTTATATGAGAGTATCAGACCTTGTGTTGTGTTAATGCTTGTATGAGTGTGCGCCGCCGACACATGAATGTTTATGTTGGGAATTAGGGGCGTCACTCCTGCTCTCAGCGAATGGCTCACGACCATGCGAGTGCCAGAGTAATGTCTTTGACTTACCATGCCGACACAGAACGGCAATACACACAGGTTACGGCTGTAGGGTACCCCACAACACAGTAACGACAGGGCGAGTTTGTGTTTCGCGCCCACAACCATCGGATCCTTGCGCTCCTAAGAGACGCAACTCTGCACAGACGAAGTTTTGCGCCCTTTTCACCTGCTCTGCGAGGACTGACTCAATAGTGTTTTCATCATATATTCTATTCAAAATCATCCACTACTGACTCCGAGCCGACCAGTCCTTTTTTTAGCCCCTTAATGCCGCGCGCCAGACATGGTGTCAACAAGTACCGTCTTTTAACGTCTTGTGGTATGACACGGCCGGGGATCAAACCCCGGACTTTCCGCTCTCCAGGCGGACGCTCTACATCCAGACCACGGAGGCGGTCTACCGAGTCATAAAAGAATTGGTTGATTGAATAACGCTAAAATCGAAAGTGATTACTTAATCTTTGCAATTTCAGCAGAAACATCGTCCAAGATAATATATTTAAATCTCATTGTCATCTATAAAAATTAATGCTGTCTTTTCCGGGTAAAACATAAACTCATACTTTATGTTGCTTTTTTGTTTCAGTTCAAGTTAAATGTTGAAGTGAATTGACATGTCCGGATAGGTGAGGATTTGGTCTACCCAGGTCTTACTGTGTGGAATACATACTTGCTCTTTAAAATAACTTACGGGCATCGTGAAGTTTGACACGGCGGTTCATCAGTTGGATCGAGTTGGACTGTTTGGTTTCCTTCACACGCCGTCTCTGTCGATATATGAGGAAATTAATTAACAGAAGATGACAAATACCCCCAGCCCCCGCAATAACGAAAGTCAATAAGACATTCAACTGCCACCATTAAGGAAAATGATGATAAAATACATATGATGATGGATGATCGAGTACTCATCGCATGTCACACAGCCAAGACAGTAGGCATCTCTCATACATGTGAGTGAGTGAGTGAGTTGAGTTTAATTCCGCTTTTAACATTATTCCAGTTATGTCGAGGCGTGTCAGCTTAATGTTGGAGGAAAGCCCGAAGTGATTCACGTCTCAGACGTTTGCCACTTCGGTGAAACCAACGAGCACGGGTATGGTGCTGACAAACCTAGACACATAATTGGGGCGAACCGGGATTCGAACCCACAATCATAGGTATCCGGCGTCCCGAAGGGACGCAACTCTGCACAGCGAATCGTGTTGCCTTAGACGACTGGACCATGCGTGCCTCTTCTCAATACGAGAATTGAGAACATTCTGAGGAATGAACTGACAGCTGGTAAGGTGATAGCTTCGGTTTTCAGGGATTCCAAAGGAATGTTGTCGTCAACATCAACATCAACATCATTGAACATCATCTGTAGTCACCACATTTGACACCGTCAGATTTCAACCTCTTCCCAAACTTGAAGAAAAAACTGTCTGGCAAGCATTACAGTCCGTTTGCCTCTAACTGAGAACGGCGAATTGCAAAATAACTCAAAATCGGAGATATCGCCCGTTACAATTCTGGAAGGATGACCATCTCTTAAAACTGTCAAATCTTTCAAACATTAAATGATTTTGTAATCATAATAATTATAAGGGTTAAACGTCGACGCATGAAAATAATACGATACATATTCATATAAAATATGTATGTAAGTTATATTTCTCCTGGTCCTTCGTTTTGAGAACACATCAGAGATATATTATATTTGAACAATGCAAGCTCTTCACATAATAAATATACATGTAAAACATGACTTCTGTTGTGCTCACTCTCTACCTCGTACCATCTGTACTTTCGATCTTCAGCCGATCTCTGTTGGATTTATTTTAACGAAGTCTTACAGTTACATCATCTGTCAAAATATTCACGTTTCAAAGACAATAATCCCAAAACAAACAAATACATATACAATACCTGGTGCCATCACTGATATTTAGTGGTCAGTCCATATAATTTTCCAAACTATTTTGGCCTTGTTTCGGCGGATAATCTGGATAGGGTTCTATCTTGCATTGGCAAATTATATTGATGAAATGATTCTCTTGTTGTGTCTGTTTATTGGATATTTAAAGATAAAATAACATTAAACATAATATTTCTGATATAGTTAAAGGTGCGTTCGACTGTAAAAAGTATATTTTGTAGTCATACAAAGAAGTTTTTCAACACCTGATTTGTATATATAATTGCATTTTGTTTTGTAATGTCTCGCCTAATGAACACGTTCATTATTTTAACATCGTAATCAATTCCACACAGTACTGTACTCAACATTTATTTATTTTACATGTATACGACCGCTTCATGGGATAATAAAAAAAATACGCGTCTGGTTTGAAGTCAGGTACAACGGTTAACAACAACTTCTGTTTTTTAAAGATTTGTGTGTAGTAAAATACATGGGAGATACAAATATTCAGTAACTGTTGTCTTGTCAGGCAACTAAGTTTAGCTATTGATTCCTGAATAAAATGTTTTAAAAACACATTAGCTTCCTCTTGCTGAAATGTAAGGCACGGTCAATGTCAAATATCAAGTCAAACAAAACCTAGGCATTGCATATATCATTTTACTCCAGATGTTATCAATCAATACTCATGTAAAAAAACCTCTGTTGCAAATACAAAACGTCAAGGTAGCCTCGGCTTTCGAATGCAAAAACCGTAAGCTCTTAGAACTCTTGTCTGCAAGCTGGTGCATTATCTATATCCCATGTGTAAACTGTATGCACTTGTAGAACGCACTAACATAGTGTTGCTATCGGGAACGGTTTCTGCACACGAAGTACACATTTGAGATTCTAATCATGTACACATTTCATTTCTAAAATTTTGCCTGTGTATGTTTGAAGGGAACATGCACTTTTACCGCATGTTAGGCCCATGTACCTCTAGAGTGATCTCAAATCTAAGATGATTACTGCGTAATAAGCAATTTACTCTGGTCTGGGGTTAGATATCAGGTTACAGTGTACATTAACACTACCGTTGATACAAATGTATTTCAAACTTCTGGATTTGGTTTGGTTTGTTCTTTAACGCCGCACTCAGCAATATTCCAGCTATATGACGGCGGTCAGTAAATAATCGAGTCTGGACCAGACAATCCAGTGATTAATATCATGAGCATCGATCCACGCAATTGGGAAACGATTACATGCATCAACCAAGTCAGCGAGCCTGACCACCCGATCCCGTTAGTCGCTTTTAACGACAAGCATGGTCGCCTTTTACGGCAAGCATGGGTTGCTGAAGACCTATTCTACCCTGGATCTTCATGGGTCGACATAAATGTAAAGTACTATTTCTTGCAGTATAAACAAATCATTTATTTAGCCAACAATAATTATTTTACTTATTTGTGCCAAGCAAACTTCTTGAGGAAATACGGTACTTGAGATATGTGTTATCTACCACAATTCCAGGCATCATACATCCCCTGTAATACCGACACTGACCCTTCTCTCCCCACTGAAATACGTCCTGAGGGCGCAGATCGTCACACGATGAGTTGAACACACGGGCCACTGGGCCGGTCAGTTTCAATGGACCGTCAACTGGTGACACAGTGATGGTGACGTTGGTGCCGCTCACGCTGCCGTATTGTGTCTGCCCATTCCGCTGAAGCAAGAAGCAACAAGCTAGTTGTAACAGGCTTATGTCGATTTACAAGCACACGAACGACCTCAGGGAAACTAAATGTATCTCTGAAACCTAAACAAGAGCAGAAATTCATGATAAAAAAACATACACTGACAAATCAGGGGCAACATGTTAAATATTTTTTAGATTAAGTAAATTCAAAGAAACATCGGACGAAGAAAATATTTCCGCCTTTTATTCATTTCGACATTATCAATAACCTGATAACATATGTAACTGAAGAACCAATGGAAATATCTAGAAGACTCACTAAAGCTAGCAATGTGTTTCACAAATTTTATTTATCGTGTTTGTACATAAAACTACTTGCTATGGACGATCAAACACTCGGAAAAACGGCATCGATTCCTTTCAGGTTTTCTGAATGCTTGGCAAATGTTTTTCGAAAAACGCATTAATCATTTTACAACCAGATGTATTAATCGAGCTGTGAAATATATTTGAAAAGGCTTAACCGATATTTAATATACCACTTAACACGCCTGTCTAGTTGATATCGTTTTTTTGTTGTTTTTTGTTGTTGTTGTTTTTTCGCGGTACGCTTCTTTATTCCACTCATCACTGTGGGAGTACAATATGTCTGCACTTTTAATGATTTATAAAACACATACTTATGATATAGTCGGAATAATACGTCCGTGTACGGCATCGCAATTTGCTGTGTAGAGTTTCGTCCCTTGGGTCCCTTGGGTACGCCAGAAACCTTTGATTATGGGTTCGAATCCCGGTCCGATTATGTTTCTGGGTTTGTAAGCACCATACCCGTGTTCGTTAGTTTCACCAGAGGTAAACGTCTAAGACCTGCATCACTTCGGACTTTCTTCCCACATCAAGCTGACACGCCATGATATACCAAAATACTGTTCAAAGTGGCGTTAACGCAAACAAACACTTTCACCCCATTTATTACCATAGGTCACGTGTGAAATTCGAGGATATGGCCTTTAGGTAAGAAGTAGACATTCCCCTTAGAATATGTAAGGATAGGGTTTGGTCGCTTTTATTTATTAATATTTTATGACCGTTTCAGTTACTTGTGTCACTCTTGTTTGTTTGTTTGTTAGTTGTTTAACGCCGCACTCAGCAATATTCCAGCTATATGACGATGGTCTGTAAAAAATCCACCCTGGATCACACAATCCAGTGATTGACATCATGAGCATCTATCCACCCAATTGGGATACGATGACATGCATCAACCAAGTCAGTGAGCCTGACCACCCGATCCCGTTAGTCGCCTCTTACGACAAGCATAGTCGCCTTTTACGGCAGGAATGGGTTGCGGAAGACTTATCCTACCCCGGATCTTCACGGGTTAACTTTTGTCAACATCACAATCAATGGAAAAACATCCAAATCAATGAAAATGGTTTAATGAATGTTTACTCGTCATGCTAATACTTTCTTCCATCTACGTAACCGTTAAATATTATCTTCCCGAGGCACTCCTATTGACCAATCAGATTCAACCTCTGACATCACTAAATCTTTACATTTGCTTCAAACAAAATGGCGGCGCCCAGTGAAGACGATCTGATCGATAATCAAGATCTATATTGTAATACAACGTGTATTACTTCGCGAAGTGCATCAAATCGCATGAAAAAGATTTGGAAAAAATATGTTGACACTAAGATGACGGTCCACATGTTTTGCAAATCTTGCAATCGACTGAAATCTGCACGGCAGTTTACGAACCGGATGTTGAATACGTTACGCGATTTTGATTTGACTATGCATAGAATCGTTAGTCCTGCCAAAATATAACTCCATAACTGCAGCCTAGTTCAGCAAGGGTGGAAACTGGATTTTTATAGTCAGTTAACTCCCTTGCCTCGGGAAGATGTCTCAAGGTACATAGTTCTCTATATGTTTCTATGGTTCGCGTTTCTTTTGGCGGTGAGTATATTTATATTCACGCTCTAACTAATATAATAATATAATACCTTGTACATATGTTGAGAAACACGACTATTTTTTGCACAGTATTCTGTATGCATTCTGTCCTACTGCATCTCAGTCACGTACACATCCTGGAGATGCATGTGAATACAACTATGACTAACAAGAGGAAATGTAACATATGGAAATAAAAAAAATAATTTATAGTCAAGAAGAGGGAGGGACAGCAGTCTTGACATTCCTTCCTACCTTGAAGCTTTCTGAATCCAGATACTGGCCGTCGAAGTTGGAGTCAAATCCCCTCGAGAAGCAGAATAACACTGTGTTTTCTTGAACATCCGTCCTGGCTCGGTTGGCCTCCTTCTGAATACCGATGTAGATCTGCGAGCGCTGAAAAAATAAGACAATCAGATTATCTGCTTCACGAACATGTTGCTCTTGAGATTTATGATGGATGATATTGACCACAAAGTGATTGAATGAGGTTTTACGCCGCTTTTAGCAATATTCCAGCAATATCACGGCGGAGGACACCACATATGGGTTTCACACATTCTATCCGTCACAAAGTACACATGATATCTCGCCGCGTGATACCAAAATATCTTATAGGGCGGTATTGGTGGTTACCCTGCCTAGCGTGGCATTAAGGGGTTAAAACAAGGACTGGTCGCCTCGGAGACGGTATGCATGTCTGAGTGGGATATATCCGTTTTAAACTGCGCCATGTATCACTGTGAGCTAGCACCGTGAGTTCGGACCAGTACAAGCACACATACACACATATACGCACACACACATGCACATGCACACACACGCACGCACACGCACACACACATGCACATGCACACACACGCGCATGTGGCTATATGAGTGCAACAGTCTTGAATGCGACGTTAAACCCTATTTCACCTCACTTCACATCATCTTACCTCGAGCGAACGAACGAAAGAGGTGAGGTGAAACGGGGTTTAACGTCGCGGCCAAGATTATTGCAATTATATAGCGATGTGCTTTCACGTGTCTTGGGGTGCTTGTACTAGTCCGGACTGATGCCGATTTATAGTGCTAGCTCACTAGGATACCATGCCGCATTTAACATGAATACCCCACTCAGACACAGTATACTGACTCCGAGCCGACCAGTCTTTGTTTTAGCCCCTTATGCCGAGCGCCAGACAGGGTAAGAACAAGTACCATCTTTTAACGTCTTTTGGTATGACGCGGTCGGGGATCGAACCCCAGAAGGTCCGGGCGGACGCTCTACCCACTTAACCACGGAGGCGGTCAACGAACGAAACATCAAATGACACCAGTTGCCAAGCAACCGCTATATCCAATACATTTCCGTTATCCTGTGAAAATAAACCATGCACTTGGGCGCAACTCAACGTGTAGTAGTTATGACGTATATTTGTATAGGACGAGTTATCGGCCCTGCATTCGAAGAAGTGTACAACTATCTCATACAGCATTTTAAAAAATATAATACTGACATTAAAAAAACACTCTTTCTCACAAAAATAAGTAAAGAGTAATTAAATGTGCTTCGGTCTACATACATTGGTCCATCTATATTATCTGATAGCACGTGACGTATAATTCATACTCATGTAAGATTCAATATCATTTAAACTCGAGTATTCTAGCACCCCAGGACAAAACTTGACTCATCACAGCACTTCAAACGCCCATGCACTTTAAAAGACTCCACATCCCTGTGAAGATCAGGGTTAGAATAAGCCTTAAGCAAACCAAACGCCGCACTCAGCAATAGTCCAGCTATATGACGGAGGTCAGTAAATAATCGTGTCTGGACCAGACAATGTCATGAATAGCATCGATCCACCCAATTGGGATACGATGACATGCATCAACCAAGTCAGCGAGTCTGACCACCCGATCCCGTTAGTCGCCTTTCACGACAAGCATTGTCGCCTTTTATTGCAAGCATAGTCGCCTTTTATGGCAAGCATGGGTTGCTGAAGACCTATTCTTCCCCTGATCGTCACGGGTCTCTTTCATTAGTGTAGGAGAGTGATATACATTAGTAATCATGTTAGGTGTTATTGGTAGTGTTCCTAGGTTCACAAGTGCAAACACTGGTCTAGTTGGTATATTGTATACAATAAACATATTCCACAGTCTATGTGGTACAAGTTTACTGTGGATTTTTACTGTTATTTCAGTCACTTAGCGACATTCAGCAGAGCTGGCAAAGTACTCTTTATACGCTTCTAAACACTAACTTAGACACCGCCCGTTGTTACTTGCATTGTATATGTCACGTTAACGAATGTACGTCACGTACTTAAACTAAAACTGTGAACAAGGTTTTTGCGAATCAGGGGTCAGACGGATTTTTATGTGGCCCTGAACGGAGAGTTACTCAACACTTTAACATTTCGAACATACACTACCGGGTGTTTTTTTCTTTCTTGACACAAACACTGCATCGTGATTAAGAGACGTAAGTACAATAAAAACAGAAGAAAAAAGGTTTCAGAATGAAGAAAGCGTCACGTTAGGTTCTTCGTAGAAGGAAAGGTGACATTTTGGACGTTAGGAGTTGTTGGTGAAGGCGTGAATGGTTTTACACTTCTGAGTCACTGTATGTGTCTCCTTGATCAGTGTTGACGTTGACAGTCGGGAGGAAACGCCGAGGACACTGGAGCCCCGACATCATCAACCTTCTACGTCTGCCTCCGAGATGTAGTGTTTTAATTTGTGATATATCATGGAATCTATTTCGTTAAAAAAAAAAAAAATTAAAGTGAAGTTTACACGATATACGGTTTCATTGGACGAGAAGTCGGTCACATGACCTCGAAACTGACTTTGATAAGCGAATGAACGAAACAATTTGACGTTCATACGTTTTTAACGAGTCTGTATTCTTTAATGACTTAAACACTAACGGACTACTTTCAAATTCCTGGGGAAACCCCTGGGAATTCCCTATCACGAATACATACAGAAGCATATTTCTTATCGTTTGGACCCTTCAATCTTGAAAGTGTCGTTTTAGCATACATTGACAAACGTCAGAGAGTTGACAACAATATCCTCGCTACCCCCCATCCTAGTGAACAAAACGAAGAAATCCACATCCAAACTACCGTAGAATTGACTCGATCTGTGCCTAGGCTTACAGTGACAGTCTACAGCATTCTATTAGTCTACCATATCAATTTGACTCATCTTTCCAAACACATTTCAATGATCGGCCAGTTGAACAATGATGACTGACACTTGTAATCGCCGCAGGTTCATTTACAACTTCGAAAATCTCTCCCGTCACGGTTATCGTGTCGGCCATTTTGACGTCTTTTACATGATGTCAATGTATTACTACGCGGTGTCATTGTGACTGACTTACTGACGTAGTTCTTAACAGACCTTTCTCACATAATGATTATATTATTTGAAAACATTTATTGTAAACAAACTATAAAAGCTATACCAGTAGAACAATATGAGCATACATGCGCTCATGCCACCTTTGCTTTGGGGGAACTACTTCATTCCGCGATACAGCTGGTTGTTGTATGGCTGTCAGTGTAAACATGAAGTCACACGTACTTAAGAAATGTGTACAGATTTACATTATCGAGGTAATAAAAATAGTGATATAAAAAATTATAGGAATTCAATTTGTTAATTAATAAAAGAATTATGAATGTCATTATGGAATACTTGTATCATGAAAACTGTAAGTGGAAAAGACACGAACTGTGCATTAATATAATCTGGAGACTGATGTCAAACGTTTCGTTAATAAATGTTTAACCGAATTGAGTATATAGAAGTTAGTTGATAGCTTTATAATATGGCAATTCTAGTGGGATAGCAGAACACAGTGCTAAGTATTTGCCCGTATGAGGATCAGCATACAAGAACATAGAGCTGTTATCACAACTTAAATATCTATCGATATGATCATTTGCTCTCAACTTGCAGTTTTGCTTGCGATAGTGTAAAGCCATAAATGCATTCACTTGTCTACTTAATTACAAGCCAAGTGTTAAAACTCTTATAATAATCTGCTCTTTTCATCATCATCATCATCATCATCATCATCATCATCATCATCATCGTCGTCGTCGTCGTCGTCGTCGTCGTCACTATCACTATCATTATCATAGTCACTATCACCATCATCGCCGCCGTCGTCGTCACTATCATCATCGTCGTTGTCGTCATCATCATCACCCTCATCATCATCACTATCATCATCATCATCATATTGTCACAGCACCGGTAAATGGCGATGCCCAGATGTTCCAGTAAAACAAACCTGATGAAGTATTGGTTTGGCTAACAGTGCGCCCTCTTTTAAAACATTCCGTTCTGGGTATTTTTGACAACTGAAGACAGCTAAAGACGACACAAACCTTCAAGTTTTTAAAGAACTCAATGTACACGACAAACTACTGAGATCCAAACATGCGTACGTTTAAGCACGTCACGGAGGGTTTGGTGAAGGAATACCTTACAGAGCAATAGAGCAAAAGGCACAATTATGAATGAGCAACGAAGCTAGACACCTCATTAATCACGTAAAGGAACCATATTTATTTGACATTCATTTTTTAAGATACACACCCTAAATCTAATCTGAGAAGTATCAGACAAACAGCTAAATTCCTTCACGCACTCGACACTGTGAACTTTTACCCGTGATTCACCTTTCAAAATGGCGGTCAAACCCGTGACGTCACCACGGGTTCGGCAGGATAAACACTGCTCTTTCAGATAGAAACCCTTTAGACTGCCGTTGAGAATGTAACACTCTCCAGTCATGTTTAAAGAGTTCTGTTTGTCGCTGACCTGGAGAGTTCAAAGCAACCCGAGAGATACTATTAAGAGGCCTAGGCGACATTTTGTATTTGTTGAATTACATCATGGCGGCCATTTGCAAGCCTCTAACGAAGCCTCGGCACAGTGGATTTACATTGCGTTACATTTTCCGGCGAGCTTCAGATCAATAATTGACGTCCGGGAAAACTTTCCTGTGTGATATATTACCGATAATATAAATTCAAAAAAGTAAAAAATATTTTATTTGGAAATTGGTAATTATTAAATATTTTCCATGTCCATTTATGCGAATAGATTGTCGACGAAGAATATAAATCCGATTGTAACTCTTAGAATAAAACTGTCATTTTTCAAATTGCGGTGGAATGAAAGGCTTAGCAGTGATCATGCTTCCATGTCAATTTGCACATAAGGATCTTTGGTGAAAAACAAACATCCTTTTGTATCTGTGTGACTAATAAACCTTTCATCCCTGGACATGTAGATACCGTGGAGAATTTTTATACTGTCAGTTTATGATAGACCCATAGTCAGTTTAAACAGGATAACATCAAGGCGCACCCGGGAAGATCCGGGATAGAATAGGTCTTCAACAACCCATGCTTGTCGTAACGGCAACTATGGTTGTCCTAAGAGGCGACTAACAGGATCTGGTGGGGATGTATGATGCCTGGAATTGTTTTAGATAACACCTATCTCAAGTACCGTATTTCCTCAAGAAGTTTGTTAGGCACAAATAAGTAAAATAATTATTGTTGGCGAAATAAATGATTTGTTTATACTGCAAGAAATAGTACGTTTACATTTATGTCGACCCATGAAGATCCCAGGTTGAATAGATCTCCAGCAACCAGTGCTTGCCGTAAAAGGCGACTATGCTTGTCGTAAGAGGCGACTAACGTGATCGGGTCGTCAGTCTCGCTGACTTCTTTGATGTATGTCATCGATCCCTATTGCGTGGATCGATGCTCATGATGTCAATCACTGGATTGTCTGGTCCAGACTCGATTATTTACAGACAGTCGTTATATAGCTGGACTATTGATGACTGCGGCGTTGAACAACAAACAAATAAACAAACAAAATATCAGGGTGTGGCAGTTAAATGATGGAGGTGAGCCGAATGTGACACAGCTTTACCACTATGAAACCCACAAGCATGTGTATGAAGCTGCCAAACCTAGGATCGTACATTGCAACTTTTCTGGATTCGAACATTCGCCCAACGTATCTAAGCTGCAAGGTGAAGCAACTGTATATAGTGTTATCTTGTTGTTAGAAAGTGCTAGAATGATTCCTGTTTAGAAATAAGAGGATATATAACCCAATGAATTTTGATTCAATGAATGCGGGAGTTTTGTTTTACGCCGCTTTTAGCATTTACATTGTGTAACCATGTGGGGTATCGAACCCGGACCTTTGCTATGACGAGTCAAGGGATTAACAACAAGGTAACCCCACCGCCACAATCCGAAACAAATGTTAGCACAGTAGGTGAGCACTTGCCAGATAACACGATATTTGATTTGATTTTCAACAAATATAATTCGCAATTAATGACATCAAATACAGAGAATAAGACAATGTTTCACATGTGGCAAACTTAGAAGTTTCAGTGAATTGTTTCCGGAACATTTTGACATTAGCTGGTCGTTCATGTTCTGAGAAGTATGTGTAGACAGTGGTAAAACATGTCAATATTACTTCATGGGTTACGAGCCCGCTCTAATTGTTGTGAATGTTGACACACGTATTTCAACCACACAGATATTCAGAGTACAAAATAGTTAAAAACGTGTTTTAAGCTCGTTTCGATAACTTCCACCATAGTTGGGTTTTTAACCTCCTTTTTTAAATGATCCAAAATGATTTGAATCAAACCTCATCTAAACACCTGACAACAATGATGTCCGATGCAATTCTCCATTTTGACTTGTGCCATATGTTCCCGTGTTTTTGTTTGTTTTTTTCCGGTGAACAATTGATTTGCCTTTGCATGTGTTTGTGACGGTCACTTTTTCGCGAACCCCTGGTGCCATCACTATACTTCTATAATTACTGAAAGAGTTTTGTCCGTTCATTTTTCTTGACATAATACAATCTGATTTCTACTGCTTCAAATACATACCTCTTTAAACTTGACGAGGACGTAAATAGTCCGGAACACCTCGTCGACCTGGATGATGTAACTCTGTGTGACGTCATCAACCGCTAACATTGACGTCATAGACGTTCCCAGTTGCACCATGTAATAGGCAGGAATAACGAACTCCAGATTTATGCGTTCTGGGGCCTGGAAACATGAACAAAAATACTATTAGAAACATGGCGAAATGTCTTCAGAATTCGGAATATATTTTGTCAAAAACATGTACCGGAAATCAGAATTTCGTTCTCAATGATAAATAAAGATATTGTTTCTTCCAAATACGAATGCTCTTGGGTTTAAATGGACCTGTGTAGGTTGTAGTGAGTGAGTGAGTGAGTTGGGTTTAACGCCGCTTTTAACAGTATTCCAGTTATATCACGGCGTGTCAGCTTCATGTGGGAGGAAAGCCCGAAGTGATGCAGGCGTTTACCACTTCGGTGAAACCCACGAGCACGGGTATAGTGCTGACAAACCTAGAAACCGTGATTCGAACCCACAATCATAGGATCCTGGTGTGCCTAGGAGACGCAAATCTGCAGAGCGAATTGCGATGCTTTAGACGTCTCGGCCACCCGTGCCCCCATATGTTTTATGCTATTGTTCTCAACTGCAGAAGAATTTTAAAAACCCAATAATCGGCATACAGAAATGTCGAAATTTTGGAATAAAAGCATTTATCTAATTATTTCAATTTTTGTTCATTCAACAATTCTTCTATTCCTTATCATACATCAAATTTAGTTCCTTATATTTAAGTCGCTTGTTTCACAAAGGAGACGGTCATTCCTGAAAACCTGAATATTTCCTAATGATTTACAATTTTACTGATAACCGTCAATAAGTGAATGTTGTTTTACGGAATAGTTTGCAAAAAAATCTGTCTTGATCCTGCAAAACAGTGGTTGATAGCAACTATCCACGAGGACGAGGAGACACATGCGATCCTCACTTTTGTCATTCCAAAAGGGGTTAGACATCGCAGGCAGACATAAATTACAGCTCTCATCGCCAAACAGATATAAATAACTGCATCCACTATTCTGCAAATTTTACAAATGCAACAAGTGACCATCGAACGGAGAAGAGTAGAATAAATTGGAATTTATCGCAATCTTAGCACCGTTACGTCATATCCGGGTTATTTCCTGGCAACACGTGATCTAATTATCCCGGAACTTGAAGAATTCATGTCACTCTTGCCGGATAATCGTCGTTAAATCCACGCGACTTTTACCACCAGAGTTACCAAGAGAGCGCTAAAGCCGGAGATTGTTGTTATCTTAGATACGCCATCATAAACAAACAGATGATCGCTAATGCTTCACTGGCAACGATTTGCCACTGACCTCTGTCATTGTGACCTCGACCATTCTTGGTCGACGTTTATGCTTGTATTTTCACGTACAATTGATACTTGGATGTACTCGCGGGTTCGAATCCCGGTTCTTCCTGATCATGTTGCTAGGTACGCAAGTACTCCTGGTTTTCACCAAAGGGTTAACATCTAAGACCTGCATCACTTCAGGCTCCACCCTACCCCCCTACCCCTACCTACCCCCCTCGCCGCTGTAATTGGGTGGCTTCAATGTGTAACAAGGCTGTTCGTGTCTGATCTTGCCCCGACGGCCAGGGTCGATGCTCATAGTATCAAACACTTATTTGCCTGACCAAGACGCTCTGTGGCTCAAAATCAAAATGTCAAGCGCAAGGTAATAATAATTTGAGAATGAACCGCATATAGTCAAACCCCGCTGGTCTCCTTGGGAGAAACAGTTCGACACATCCGGGGTTCGACACATCCGTCTCGACATTATCACTGTCTGGCCGAGCCATCAGAAAGTAAACGTTCCACACCGTGCATGTTACATCAATAATGTCTATATTATAAATACAAACAGAAGTATTTGTCATGTAAGTATTTGTCATGTAAGTATTTGTCATGTAAGTATTTGTGCATCCATTGCCAAACGAAATAACAGCTTCACGCTTGGTCTTCTTTGCCTTCACAGATAATTTCATCTATTTAGGAGCAGAAGCATTAGTGTTTGTACCCATACTGATAAACACCAGGTCCATTACTAGATTGCTCGTCCATGTTTCTATCCGTACTGATAAACACCGGGTCCTCAGCTAGATTGCTCGTCCATGTTTCTACCCGTACTGATAAACACCGGGTCCATTACTAGATTGCTCGTCCATGTTTCTACCCGTACTGATAAACACCGGGTCCTCAGCTAGATTGCTCGTCCATGTTTCTACCCATACTGATAAACACCGCGTCCTCAGCTAGATTGCTCGTCCATGTTTCTACCCGTACTGATAAACACCGGGTCCTCAGCTAGATTGCTCGTCCATGTTTCTACCCGTACTGATAAACACCAGGTCCTCAGCTAGATTGCTCGTCCATGTTTCTACCCATACTGATAAACACCGGGTCCGCAGCTAGATTGCTCGTCCATGTTTCTACCCGTACTGATAAACACCAGGTCCTCAGCTAGATTGCTCGTCCATGTTTCTACCCGTACTGATAAACACCGCGTCCTCAGCTAGATTGCTCGTCCATGTTTCTACCCATACTGATAAACACCGGGTCCTCAGCTAGATTGCTCGTCCATGTTTCTACCCGTACTGATAAACACCGGGTCCTCAGCTAGATTGCTCGTCCATATTTCTACCCGTACTGATAAACACCAGGTCCTTTACAAGATCGATCATCCATGTTTCTACCCGTACTGATAAACACCGGGTCCTTTACTAGATCGATCATCCATGTTTCTACCCGTACTGATAAACACCAGGTCCTTTACTAGATCGATCATTCATGTTTCTACCCGTACTGATAAACACCGGGTCCTTTACTAGATCGATCATCCATGTTTCTACCCGTACTGATAAACACCAGGTCCTTTACTAGATCGATCATCCATGTTTCTACCCGTACTGATAACAACCAGGTCCTTTACTAGATCGATCATCCATGTTTCTACCCGTACTGATAAACACCAGGTCCTCAGCTAGATTGCTCATCCATGTTTCTACCCGTACTGATAAACATCGGGTCCTTTACAAGATCGATTATCTATGTTTCTACCCGTACTGATAAACACCGGGTCCTCAGCTAGATTGCTCGTCCATGTTTCTACCCGTACTGATAAACACCAGGTCCTCAGCTAGATTGCTCGTCCATGTTCCTACCCATACTGATAAACACCGGGTCCTCAGCTAGATTGCTCGTCCATGTTTCTACCCGTACTGATAAACACCAGGTCCTCAGCTAGATTGCTCGTCCATGTTTCTACCCATACTGACAAACACCGGGTCCTCAGCTAGATTGCTCGTCCATGTTTCTACCCGTACTGATAAACACCGGGTCCTCAGCTAGATTGCTCGTCCATGTTTCTACCCGTACTGATAAACACCAGGTCCTCAGCTAGATTGCTCGTCCATGTTTCTACCCATACTGACAAACACCGGGTCCTCAGCTAGATTGCTCGTCCATGTTTCTACCCGTACTGATAAACACCGGGTCCTCAGCTAGATTGCTCGTCCATATTTCTACCCATACTGATAAACACCAGGTCCTCAGCTAGATTGCTCGTCCATGTTTCTACCCGTACTGATAAACACCGGGTCCTCAGCTAGATTGCTCGTCCATGTTTCTACCCATACTGATAAACACCAGGTCCTCAGCTAGATTGCTCGTCCATGTTTCTACCCGTACTGATAAACACCGGGTCCTCAGCTACATTGCTCGTCCATGTTTCTACCCATACTGATAAACACTACGTCCTCTTCTAGATTGCTCGTCCATGTTTCTACCCGTTTTGATAAAACTGACGACACCATGAATTTCCATAGTCGTATGTTTCAAACATTTTGAGTTCGCCAATCAGGCCAAAGTTTAAACGGAGTTCGAGACAACCGGGAATTCGACACATCAAAGTATAATTAGTGATGTGTACAGCAAGAGTTCGCTGTGACTGTGAGTTAGTCACAGTCGGGAATTCCATACATCCGAGTTAAGACTACCGGGTTCGACTTATGTCAATACAAGTGTCCTGCAGAATATTTAGAAATATGGATATAAAATAACATAATATCGCGTATTTGAATTGTTTCATTTACGATTTATCTTGCACATAAGCTCTATCAGTCAAAACGCAGAGAACGTCTTGTAATACGAAATTATATACCACACAAAATACTGGGTAATAATATGTTTCATGAAGCGTTTTTCAAAGGTCTTCACATTATAACGTGACGAATAATTTGCGATTGCAAAGTTTGTATAACTGGGTTCCATTCCGAGCACGTAACGGCAAATTGTTCAATGATTACTTCTTATTCAAACGCCAGCACTGTTTAATCGTTTGTTTTACGGATCAAAAGATTTTACATTGGACAAGAATATTCAAACAAAGCCCAGTCTAACTGCCTTAGGGTTTTGTTTGTCATAGCAAGCAGTTTTGTGTTTGTGAAACTGTTGCCAGAGAAGTCAGCTGCAGATCGCTGGACGCTAGACGGCGTCGTGTCGTTGTCATATGAACATAACACACCGTCATGATGTTGGCGTTGCTGATTACCTTTTTGTGTACTTGACCCTGTGCCAAAGGGCAAAGGTGTGAAACTGAATCACGTGACCTCATTCTACTTCTATGGCGGGATAGTATCCAGTGACGAAACAGCCCATAATATTAACATATAAGAATATTTTTGTTCGTGGTTGGTGCATTATTAAAGTCAATGGTGTACTCTTTTTCCCTTTTTTGTCATTTTGTGTTTTTAGCCAGTACATTACATTTGGCCTTTGGTAATTAACTTTGACCTTTCGAATTAATTGCTCTTCTCAACCGATTAAGCGGGATTTGTCATCCCCCAAATATTCGTTTGAATTACAGTTCGAGGTTTGCCATGAGATGCGTTGTACGGGGGTATTCAGTCAATATTAAAATATCTCTAGTTAGTGGCATAGTGACAGTCCATTCGAATCCACTAAACGTTACCATACCCCAGAATACGTCCATGGGATATATTTCAAACAAAACAGCTATAATAAGCTTATATAACCGACTCCCCATACTTTACACAGTTACTGTTATGTAGATCATCGTGTCCCATGTGTGACATATACTCATCAACCGACAACAATCAATGACATGTACTCTCCAATCATCTGTGATATATACTCGCCAATCATCCATGATATATACTCGTTTATAACACTGATATATACTCGCCCATCATCTATGATATATACTCGGCCACCACACTGATAAATACTCGCCCATCATCTATGATTTATACTCGCCCACCACACTGATATATGCTCGCCCACCATCCTGATATATACTCGCCCATCATCTATGATATATACTTGCCCACCACCCTGGTATATACTCGCCAATCATCTATGATATATGCTCGCCCACCATCCTGATATATACTCGCCCATCATCTATGATATATACTTGCCCACCACACTGATATATACTCGCCAATCATCTATGATATATACTCGCCCACCACACTGATATATACTCGCCCACAACCCTGATATATACTCGCCCATCTTCTATGATATGTACTCGCCCACCACCCTGGTATATACTCGCCCATTATCTATGATATATTCTCGCCCACCACACTGATATATACTCGCCCATCACACTGATATAAACTCGCCCACCACCCTGATATATACTCGCCCATTATCTATGATATATACTTGCCCACCACACTGATATATACTCGCCCACCACACTTATATACTCGCCAATCATCTATGATATATACTCGCCAACCACCCTGATATATACTCGGCCACCACCTTGATATATACTCGCCCATCATCTATGATATATACTCGCCCACCACACTGATATATACTCTCCAATCATCTGTGATATATACTCGCCCACCACACAGATATATACTTGCCCATCATCTATGATATATACTCGCAAATCACCTTTGATTATAAACGTGTCAACAATATATGATATTTGCTATGTATTTACTATTTCTTCACCAAAGCAGAACATCAAACGCCGAAGAAGTGGAAAATCGCCATAGCTGTTTCCAATGTGAAAACTGCACGCTGCTCACCTTTGTGGTACTGGTCTGGACATTGTTCTGGACAGCTCCACTTTCCCCGCCGTCGTCACCGCCCTTGGGGACGACAGCGGCTACGACGATAATCACAACAATCAGCAACAACACTACTCCCACTGCTATGCCAACTTTGAGGAAAAACTTCTTATCGTCTTTCTTCTTCTTGAAGAAATCACCGATGCCCTTAAGGCGTTCCCCATTTTGAGCTTTCTCTGGCATCGAAATGTTTAAATCCAAGACTCTTTCAGTAAACAGATTGTCTCCTTGATCACACCGAGATAAAACAAGTTACATTACTAGGGTAACACCTTGCAACCAGATCCTACGTTGTGTCTTGTATCACATCCGGTCCAAACACTAAAACACGGAAGAAATATCGAAATATCCGGAACAACTTCCCGCCGAGGATCAAAACTTGAAAAATGCAAATGGCGGCAGGTGTCGTCTGCTATGCAACCTGTAACAGACCATACGTAGGGACACAGTTTCAGGTGCCTTTGCGGTCTAAACACTCCTAGCTACCGTCTCTAACTGCAGAAGCAAGTCATCACATTTACGGAATACGCTCACGTGCCCCTCCTCGGTGCGTTTGGTTTCGATCAACTCTAAACCCCAAGCAAACACTCCGCCGTGCCACGTCCCCGTGAATAAACCTGAGTCAACGCGCTGTACCGCCGCTGAGTGACAGACATCGCGCATAGCTGCCTCAACATTTAGGATGGGACAAGTTGTCGGATTTGCAAAATCGAGCTTTCCTTTAAAGCAGTGACATTTACTAGTGTCTTTAACCAGATCCAGAAAAGGTGTTATTTACGAACCGTAAATGCCCTCAACGATGCACTCGAACGTAGCGGTGCCGATATCTAATTATCAAGTTCTGTTCTCAGTAAAGCGGATCTGTCAGGTATCCCATGGGTACCCGTCATGGACCACGTCCTGCTCTGTTCCGTGACTGATCTGGGGCTGTATATGCGCTGCGTCACCTTTATAATTAAAAACGACGGATTGATTTCGCGATTGATGCTGATGAACTTCTCTTTATACGATCTCTTATATACAGGCAGGGATATCAATTAAACACGTAGTGAGGTCGTAGTAGTGTAGTAGTGGTAGTAGTGGCAGTAGCAGCAATAGCAGTTGCAGTAGTAGAAGTAGTAGTAGTAGTAGTAGTAGTAGTAGTAGTAGTAGTAGTAGTAGTAGCAGGAGTATAAGTAGTAGTAGTAGTTTGTTTGTTTGTTGTTTAACGACGCACTCAGCATTTTACCAGCTATAGGACGGAGGTGTGTAAATAATCGAGTCTCGACCAGACAATCCAGTGACTGATCAATCTCATTAAAATCAGAACTAGGTTCTCGCTGCCGCTAAACACTTTGTTTAGACATAAGGAGAACTAACATCTGATTTTATTGAGATTGGTGATTGATATCATGAGCATCGATCTACGAAAGTGGGATAAGATGACATGCATGAACCAAGTCAGCGAGCCTGACACACGATCCCGTTAGTCGCCTCTTAGTGATAGTAGTAGTAGTAGAAGTAGTAGTAGTAGTAGCAGTAGTAGCAGTAGTAGTAGTAGTTGTAGTGGTAGTAGCAGCAGCAGCAGCAGTAGTAGTAGTAGTAGTAGTAGTAGTAGTAGCAGTAGTAGCAGTAGTAGTGGTAGTAGCAGTTGTAGTAGCAGTAGTAGCAGCAGTAGTAGCAGCAGTAGGAGTAGCAGCAGTAGTAAGGGTAGTAGCAGCAGCAGCAGCAGCAGTAGTAGTAGTAGTAGTAGCAGTAGTAGTTGTAGTAGCAGTAGTAGTAGCAGTAGTAGCAGCAGTAGTAGTAGCAGTAGCAGCAGTAGTAGCAGCAGCAGCAGCAGCAGTAGTAGTAGTAGCAGTAGTAGCAGTAGCAGCAGTATTAGTGGTAGTAGCAGCAGCAGTAGTAGTAGTAGTAGTAGTAGTAGTAGTAGTAATCGGAATTTTTGTTTGTTAGTAAAATGGATTTCAGGTAAATTTAATGAATATGTTTGAAGTCGCCCGTTCCTTTAAAAACAGACCATTACGTTTCAGTTTTGATGATAAACTGAACACGCATTAGTATATGGATTTGATCCAGTATCAACTTTTATATATACGAAATATAAGCAACGATATCCACAAAGAAAATGACTGCAGTTCAATGTGTCACTTTGATTGACGCCTTCGACGAAAGAAACAAAAGCACGGACTTCACGTGCACAGAGTCGGTCGGTGCACGTGACACCTGAAATCTATAAAAGTCAGGCGCTAAAAATGGCGGATGTCCACTCTCAAAAACCTGAGGAGTTGAGCAGACGGCTACCTGTCGGGTAAGTCATTATTTATTCGTTTGACGTTAACTGGGACCGTATTGTGGGTTTGTTATAGTATTTGATTGAAAGTAAACACTATTTAGATATTATATTATGAAAAGAGGCACTCTCGTAGAAGTTTTACTCTGGTGATTGTAATTGTGTGATATTAACTCGAATAAACAGCTGGTTCTTTAAGCAAAACTATAGCATTTTAATAGGATTTCCCCTTCAAAAGTTGATGTTTGGAAACGCTATAACATAAGTCGATCAAACAGTGGTTTGGGTTTTTAATCAATCGACTGGGGCGGTAGGGTAGCCCAGTGGTTAAAGCGTTCGCTCGTCACGCCGAAGACCCGGGTTCGATTCCCGAGATGGGTACAATGTGTTAAGCCCATTTCTGGTGTCCCCCCACCTTGATATTGCTGGAATATTGCTTAAAGCGGCGTAAAACCATACTCACTCACTCACTCATTTATCAATCGACTTCATAACTTCTTGATACACTAAGCTCGTACCCTTATGCACGAAATATACACCCGAATAAGCAGTCAAAAACGATCATACGTCCAAGAAGTAACCAAACTTCCGGACAGAAATTAACCAATAAATTTGTTAAGGATGAACGCTTCCCCCTCGGTCTTGAGTCTCTTGACTGAGAATGTAAGCCCGGAGAATTGGGATATTGGGGAGGGCAAAATATACCTGAAAAAATATGCAATCGGGAAGTAGTACAGTGCATCGCTGTAGATGAGTAATTCGATGAAAGCGTGCGAGAGACCACGCGCAGCATGCACACAACTGAAGTCATTACAGTTAACTACGGTTATAACGAACACAAGGGGACTACTAATTTTAGTTCGTTATAAGCATATATACAGCATAACTACAGCATAACTACAGTAAATAGTTGGGACCAAAAATGTATGTTCGTTATAAGCGTGTTCGTTATAACCGTAGTTTACTGTATATGTAAAGATCCGGGGTAAAATATGTCTTCAGCAACCCATTCTTGCCGTAAAAGGCGACAATGCTTGTCGTGAGAATCTACTAACGGGATCGGGAGGTCAGGCTTGGTTGGTTGATGGATGTCGTCGTATCCCGATTGCGTGGATCAATGCTCATGATGTCAATCACTTGATTGTCTGGTTCAGACCGACTTTGCAGACGCCGTCATATATCTGGAACATTGCTGAGTGAGGCGTTAAACAACAAACAAACCCTCGCCATACAGTTGAATTACGTTGATCATTGCAGAAACCATATCATTTTAAGACCATCAAAGTACACATAAATATTTTTTAGGTTACAATTCTAGGTGTATTAGCTTCCAAACATGATGTATATTTTAAGTAATGAACAATTATTTTCTCCTCAGGAATGTCCGCTTTCGGGGTAGTAAATCTCGACTTTGATATTCACCGGTCGGTGCCCAAACACAAGACCGGAAGAAACGTTTTTGGCGAGAATCTCAACTTTCAGCAACACACCATGAACAACGTAAAGCGCAAGAAGACAATATTCTTCCCTACCTCGGGGGTCTGCTCAGCTCAACACGTCCCCACGGCAATCAGGAAACATGTAACCGAAGTTCGTTTCCTCTTCAAGTTTGTTTTTACTGCTACCCATTCCGACCCACAGACGTCAACGTGTTCGGTAATCGTAAATGGAGGGGACGAATCTCATCATACCGCATCCCAATTGCGTGGATCAATGCTCATGATGTCAATCACTGGATTGTCTGGTCGAGTCTCGATTATTTACAGATCGCCGTCATATAGCTGAAATATTGCTGAGTGCGGCGTTTAAAACAAACGAGGCATTTTGACTTATCACTGAATATATTTATCAACTATAGAAATGTATTTGTCAAATTCAAAAATGTCTCCAAACATCAATCTCTTGCATATGTAACTATTGGAAAAAACAAACTAAAGCAATGATGTCATTGACATGTTCACAGGAACGTCGTGTGCTCAGCGACAACAGTAACATCTCGCACGGCAACAACAGCAACATCTCGCACGGCATCATCTCGCACAGCACAGCAACCTCCAAGAAACAGACGGTGCTGTGTGCAGAATACACCAAAGTTTCCAAGGCAAAGCCGGCATTTCGTGCAACTCCAGGTGTGTCAGTCATAAAAACATCACTATTCCACTCGACCCGTGAAGATCCGGAGTAGAATAAGTCTTCAGCAACCCATGCTTGCCCATAAAAGGCGACTATGCTTGTCGTAAGAGACGACGAACGGGATCGGGTGGTCAGGCTCGCTGACTTGTCATCGTGTCCCAAATGCGTGGATCGATGCTCATGATGTCAATCACTGGATTGTCTGGTCCAGACTCGATTATTTTTCAGATCGCCCTCATACAGCTGAAATATGGCTAAGTGCGGCGTTAAGCAACAAACACTATTCGACTTGCATACCCGTGGTCTCTAGAATCTGGATCGGAAAAACATTTATTTAAAGCATAGAAACACTAAACGCCGTCCGAGTTGTTACGCTCGCAACATGCATTAGGTACTTGTGACCCTAATTCACCTAAGGTCTCGTTGTCATGTTGGGTCTTTGTCCAGAGCAATCATGCCAAAAGCTCGTGAACTGTATAGTGCAAGTCGATATGGCACTAGCTGATAAAATATGTTTCTAAAGCGCTTACATTGAATAACTTCCATTATATTAGGAATCACATGTGATAGATTATTAACCTCATATTTCCTTAAATATATTTAGGAATATTAAATCTATATTCCTCATTTGTATTCCTCGTGATATTTACGGTAAGGAAACAACTCCTGCGGTTGAATAGGCCTTTAACCAACCCACGATTGCCTGTAAAGACAATATGGTTGTAACTGGCCACCTACGAATCGGGTTTTCAGGCTCGTTGTCTTGATTGATTCATGTCAACATATCCCAACTGCGTGGATCAATGCTCATGATATCAATCACTGGATTGTCAGGACTATACTCGATTTATTTACGTCATACAGCTGGAATATTGCTGAGTGCGGCGTTAAAAAACAAACGAATCACAAATGCTCATACATGGTTCAAGTCGCTTCGCTCTTGGTTGCTAGGAAACCAAGGCTGTCGGAAAGTCAAGAAACACAAGTTGAGTGTTAAGAAGAAACTCTGCATCAATGGACCGGAGCGCGTTATTCCGTTTGGTACGTAGCTCACCTTACTGTTTGGTACGTAGCTCACCTTACTGTTTGCTACGTTGCTCACCTTACTGTGTTGGTTCGTAGCTCACCTTACTGTGTTGGTACGTAGCTCACCTTACTGTTTGGTACGTAGCTCACCTTACTGTTTGGTACGTAGCTTACCTTGTTGTTTGGTACGTAGCTCACCTTACCGTTCTGGTACGTAGCTTACCTTGTTGTTTGGTACGTAGCTCACCTTACTGTTTTGGTACGTAGCTCACCTGACTGTTTTGGTACGTAGCTAACCTTACTGTTTTAGTACGTAGCTCACCTTACTGTTTTGGTACGTAGATCACCTTACTGTTTTGGTACGTAGATCCCTTACTGTTTTTTCCCACCAAAAATTCCGTTTCGTATTAATTTGACACTGTAAGAAATTTCAGTAGTGTACGTCTCCATGCTATTAGAACTATACCCTGGACCCATTCGCTGATTTCTTAACTTTATTTGGGGTATGGGGTTGAGTAGTTAGAGCGCTCGTCTCGTGTGAAGCCCGTTTCTGGTGTCCCCTGTCGTGATCGTGCTGGAATATTGCTATCATCGGAGTAAAACCATACTCAATTTCGTTCAGTAAATCGCCATCTTATCTGTCTTTCGCTAACTAAAGATTTTCTCTGGCTTCTCAGTGTCATTGGAGTTTGGCGTCCAAGCGAAACTCCACAGGAGACTGATCACTAGCATTTATCGTAATAGAATGAAGGTATTTTGTGCACTACCCAGATGAGCCTATGGACCTTGATGATCCGGCTCTACGACTGCGCCACCTGCTGAAGACTGTTCCAGTCGGCATAAAGGATATAGACGCCGACAAGGGGGAGTTCTACACGCCTGACTATGCCCAGGACATTATTGACTACCTGCAGGTTGGTCGTGATTACATCCTTGACCGCCTCCAGGTCGCATCCTTGATCGCATCCTGGTCGCATCCTGGTCTCATCCTGGTCTCATCCTTGGTCGCATCATTGACTGCCTCCTGGTCGCGTCCTTGACTGCCTCCTGGTCGCGTCCTTGACTGCCTCCTGGTCGCGTCCTTGACCGCCTCCTGGTCTCATCCTGGTCGCATCCTTGACCGCCTCCTGGTCGCATCCTGGTCTCATCCTTGGTCGCATCCTTGGTCGCATCCTTGACTGCCTCCTGGTCGCATCCTTGACTGCCTCCTGGTCGCGTCCTTGACTGCCTCCTGGTCGCGTCCTTGACTGCCTCCAGGTCGCATCCTTGACCGCCTCCTGGTCGCATCCTGGGTCGCATCCTTGACTGCCTCCTGGTCGCGTCCTTGACTGCCTCCTGGTCGCGTCCTTGACTGCCTCCTGGTCGCGTCCTTGACTGCCTCCTTAACCGCCTTCTGGTTGCATCCTTGAGCGCCTCCTGGTTGCATCCTTGAGCGCCTCCTGGTCGCATTCTTCATTGCCTCCTGGCCGCGTCCTGGTTAAAAGATGGTATTTGTTGTAACCCTGCCTACTATTGTCGTCAAGGGAACAAAGCAAGGACTACAGTTGTCGTTGGTCATGTGGGAGATCAATGCATGACTTCAAAAGGTGTTTGCGATTGATTACTTTAGGTTATGATTCATTACAGAGTTGATGACAAACGGTGGACCACCAGACTAAATCCAATGGGTCAACATGTTAGTATCCTGTATAGTGTGAAGTTTACCTGTGTTACAGTATATGTTGTTCTGTCTGTGCAGGCGGTGGAGACTCGGTGGTCCTTCCCGGAGGACTTCTTGGAGGATCAGGCAGTGACGTCCAGCATGCGAGCTGTCCTGGTGGACTGGCTCATGCAGGTCCAGGTAATGTCCGTCTTCGGATCCGGGTAATGTCCGTCTTCGGATCCGGGTAATGTCCGTCTGTGGATCCGGGTAATGTCCGTCCTCGGATCCGGGTAATGTCCGTCTGTGGATCCGGGTAATTTCCGTCCTCGGATCCGGGTAATTGTCCGTCCTCGGATCCGGGTAATTGTCCGTCCATGGATCCGGATAATGTCCTCATGCGAATGTTAGTCTCAGATCTTCATTAGCGAATCGTCGTCACGGGTCCAGTCGCCTATGGCGCTGCAATTTGCATTTCAAAAAACTATTATGTGGGTTTCAAATCCCGGTTCGCCGATTATGTTTCTAGGTGTTTCATCGCCTCGAGGATTTCACCAAAGTGGTAAACGTCTCGGATCTGCATCGCTTCGGGCTTTCCTCTCCAATTTAGCTGACACGCCGTGATATAACTGGAATACTCTTTAAAGTGGCGTTTAACCCAACCAACCCATTAGGCAACCCCGATTTAATATAAATTCGCTGCCTTCGAGATACAATATCTTTTATCTGCAAGAGAAAAACTAGCTCTGGATGTTTCAAGTCATTGATGTTTGGGTGGGTTTTAAAGAAAGGGGCCAAAGGACTTTTTTACAATACTGTCAGGAGCATCACCAAAAATTGGACCCGTCAAGATCCGGGGTTGAATACGTCTTCATCAACCCATGCTTGCCGTAAAAGGCGACTAACGGGATCGGGTGGTCAGGCTCACTGACTTGGTTGTCATCGTATCCCAATTGCCCGGATCGATGCTCATGATTTCAATCACTGGGTTGTCTGGTCCGGACTCGATTATTTACAGACCGCCGTCATATAGCTGGAATATTGCCGAGTGCGGCGTTAAACAACAAATAAAAAAATTGACGTAAAACCTGTCACTCACTGAAGAAATTCCAACTCCTCTAGTGCCATGAACGCCTCAATGACGACACGCTGCACCTGACAGTGGCCCTCATCGACCGCTACATCTGCCACAAAGCGCCCGCCATACACGAGGTCCAGCTTCTAGGCATCACCTGTGTCCTGATAGCTGCCAAGTTCGTGGAGAGATTTCCGCCAGAGGTAACTTCCATCAACAGATGGGAAACGATTATTACCAAACGAAAAAGTAACAATGCCCATCAATGTATTAGCTCACCTGACTAACAGTCAATGGAGCGTATGTCTTGATCATTTTGTCCCGATGTGCGTGGTCCGTCTCAGATTTCTTCTCAGAAACCACAGGACCAATGAAGCTGAAACCTCACTTGCTTGTTCTCAGCAATGATAGCACTTTATTTTTTTTCAAGAGGTTCGAATCCAAATCTCATGTCACGATGCTAAACAAAAATTAATATTTAATCACTCGGTAAGTTTTGTTGAAGGTGTTATTAAAGTTGGTATATGTAGTTCCATTTTTCGCGATGTGTAAAGTTTTTACCATGCTCTTATAATGCATTTCCTAGCACTATAAACATCTCAGATACCAATTTACCAAATAAACTGAAACTTTATATTATTGTTCATAACAATGAAGATAAGTAAATTACTTCATGACTATTGAATCCGATTAATGTGGCCACCATGGGATCTACTGAAAAAGCTATGCTTAGCCACTGTTCAGTCATTTCTGTGAAGATCCGGGGCAGAAACAGGTCTTCAGCCACCTTTGCATGTTGTAAAGGTCGGGTAGTCTACTGGTTACAGCGTTCGCTCGTCACGTCGAAGACCCGTGTTCGATTCCCGACATGGGTACAATGTGTGAAGCCCATTTCTGGTGTCCCCCGCCGTGATATTGCTGGAATATTGCTAAAAGCGGCGTAGAACCAAACTCACTCACTCACTGAGACTGAGATTGAGGAATTTCAACTTTGTACGTTCTTGTGATGACGTACTTCCTTCACATTAGATGTAAGTGCTAGCATTGAGCCCAAAGTATATAAAATAGTTGAACTTCAAACAGCACCATTTTTGTAAAGTGTCTTTTGTTGACTTTTGAAAGTGAGTACATATTCAGGTGAGCTACATTATCAAATTGTACCGATCGTCATCACATCAATCTGTAATCTGCCAATTGAGTCAGGTGACCTGGTCGAGTGCATGACGTCATACCCCCTTAATTTCCTGGCCCAGTGACATCGACTGGTCGACTCAGAGTCAGTATTCTGTGGGGTATTTATGTTAGACTGCGGCAGGGTATCTCAGTGGGCAAGCACTGTAAAATCGGCATCAGTCCATACTAGTACAAGCAGCCACACACACCTGATGCACGTTGCTTTTTAAATGCAATAATCTTGGACGCGACCTTAAACACAATTTGGGGGCACGGGTGGCCCAGTCGTCTAAGGCGCCGTGATTCGCTGTGCAGAGTTGCGTCCCTTGTGCACGCCAGAAACCTATGATTGTGGGTTCGAATCACGGTTCGCCCCGATTATGTTTCTAGATTTGTCAGCACCATACCCGTGCTCGTGGGTTTCACCGAAGTGGTAAACATCTGAGACCTGCAACACTTCGGGCTTTCCTCTCACATTAAGCTGACACGCCGTGATATGACTGGACTACTGTTAAAAGCGGCGTTAACCCCAACTCACTCACTCACTCACTTAAACCCCATTTCACCTCACCTACACATTTCGACCCATGTTGACAATGTTTGTCTGTTTGAGATCGCAACCCTGTGTCACCTGACTGACAACACCTACACCGAGGATGAGGTCATCACCATGGAGATCATGATCCTCAAGACGCTCAAGTTCGACCTCAATATTCCTGGACCGATTGTCTTCCTGGACCGATTCCTGCAAGCTGAAGAAAGCGATTCAAAGGTTTTCTCTCGAGATGTTTCGTGCATGTTCGATTCCACTTACTATTTCGCCATTGTATAATAAATACACTGGGCCCATTCGTTTCGAAACCGATTCGAATGACACGAAGCTAAAAAAAAGATGGCCAATCAAATTGCATTATGCGAGAGACACTTACTTGATAAGTACCTAAAATCCTTCTTTATCTGATCGTCCCAATTTCGATGTGGATCACATTATCACGTGTTTGTCCGGGTGAGCACTTAACTTGCCTTTGCATGTGTTTGTGACGCTGGTATCATCATCATTGATAGTGATTCATAAACACCTGCTTATGAGTCGAAATTGTACAAAGGGCTCTGCTCAGAATGGACACGATTTAGCTTTTTTTAGTACGGTTAACGTAACAAACTACAAAATAGACTACTTCCACGTGTCAAAATAACCCTTCGGTTTTTATCCATAGTTTACCTCGTGAAGATCCGGGTTAAAATTGGTTTTCAGCCACCCATACTGTTGCACAACTGTTTGTTTCACGCCACACTCAGCAATATTCCAGCTATATGACGGCGGTCTGTAAATAATCGAATCTGGACCAGATAATCCAGTGATTGACATCATGAGCATCGATCTACGAAATTGGGATACGATGACATGCATCAACCAAGTCAGCGAGCCTGACCACTCGATACCGTTAGTCGCCTGTTACAAGCATAGTCGCCAAGCATGGGTTGCTGAAGACCTATTCAACCCCGCATCTTTACGGGTCCGTTAAACAACAAACAAAACACAATGCCAGTGCCAATTGGCCCAAAAGCTCAGATAAACAGGGTTCAAGTCACTTTGCTCGTGTGGTGAACTTCACTGACTTGGTTTATGCATGTCACCAATGGCTGGATTTTGGGCCAGTTGGGGGTTTACCTACCCCGTCATATAGCTGGAATTTTAAACATTAAGTTTCCTGATCTGTCATTGCTTTTGCCAGGTTTCCCATCTCTGCAAGTACCTTCTGGACCTGTCCCTGGTCAGTGCCGATACTGTCAGGTTCGTGCCGTCCATGGTGGCCGCTGGCGCCCTCTATCTCTCTAGGCGCATCTTCCGGTCCCTGATGGGAATGGTGTGGACCCCGAACCTCTCGTTTTACAGCAAGTATTCGGAACATGACCTCATTCCGTGTGTCCGGCATCTTGAGAAGCTGCTGAACAAGGCTCCAACAGGGAACCACAAGGTGAGCTAAATCTGAACGCTCAATGCTTTATCGTTGTTAAACCCTACACTCAGCAAGACTCCGGCTATATGACGGCGGTATGTAAATAAATCTGAACCAGACAATCCACTGAGTGACATGAGCATCAATCAACGCAATTGGGATACAATGACATGCATGAACCAAGTCAGCGAGCCTGACCAACCGATCCCATTAGCCGCCTCTTACTAATCTTCACGGGTCGCTCGGTGTTTTAGGTGCATGCATACTTGTGTCTAAGTCCAAGATAATAGAAGCGACACAATATTAATCAACCGCTAGACTGCCTGGTTCAGTCTCCTATTCATAATCCGACATGAAGGTTGTTTTTCTAAACTTCAATGTCAATGGTGAAAACGAAAGTAAAAGTACAATTGCAAAACAGTTTGGTTTTTAATTGATCACTTAATAGTATAAGTGGTTGGGTGAACAAAAAGAAAATATTCTGGCGCCAGTAAGCAACGGTTTTAATGTTTACACACGTACTTTTGATATAAGCTTACATGCCTGTGATTTAGGAGCTAAAAGTATTGTTTTAAATATTACCTGTTGATTTGACGATACCGAGTCTGACTTAGAGTTCATATTACATTAGCATCGGTAAAATGGTATGACATTCAGGTAAAAGTGTGTATTAATGTATTGATAACTGAATAATATGGGCTTCAGATTTAACGATATTGCAATATTCTAACCAGGTAGTTTAACGCCTGCACTATACCTATTATTAGTCACAATTTTAAATTCAATTCTAAACCGTGCATTTGGTGGAGAATGAAAATAACTTCACATTTTAAAATTACTAATGCAAAGAATGCTAGGTCCAATCAAACTCAGAATTTGTCCAAATTTACAGATACAAAAGATTTAGAAAACCCGGGTTCGATTCCCCACATGGGTACTATGTGTGAAGCCCCGTTTCTGGTGTCCCCTGCCGTGATATTGCTGGAATATTGCCAAAAGAGGCGTAAAACCATACTCACCTTCTAGAAAAAGGGAGGTTTGCGTTTACCTTTTTAGAAAACAAATAAAAACATCAGTTTTGCCTTAGTACAATTTCGTTTTTTTCCAGGCTGCAAAGAACAAGCACGCGAAATCGGACTACGGCTGCATCTCCTCTAACCCCCTGATTTGCCAGTGACGTGGACACGACGACGAATGTTGGACTCAGCTGCGGAGACCATGCAAGACTAGTGCTATGTATTCAATTGTACAGACATTCCAATTATTTATTCCATGTCGGGATGCGACATTCCGGCGACGCACGTTTAATGCATGCAGTGAGCACACTTACCTTGACATAAACAAAAGAAACAAGCAAAAAAAACCAGACGGAACAACGACGAAAAAGTATATCAAGAAACATGAAAAAAACAATTTGAGAGTTAGGACCATTTGTACAGTTTCGTGCAAATTAAAAGCATTTGTACATAATTGCGCATGAATCAAACTACACTTGTTGAGTATTTTTTCATAAAATCCAATTTAGTCCCGAATAATGTTACATAAATATTCACGTTGACAAAGGGGACAGTTGAACGTTTGAAGATATACTAAAACACACCGAAAACGCATCACCTTTAACTCGAAATTAGAAAAGATGTTTTAGTGCTCAAGTCAATCTCCAAACAGATCGAATAAGATTCGAACCCGTACGTTAACATTGTTGATTTCATTCCTAAATAACATAACATAAAAGGATTTTTGTGGCCATTTTGCCAGATATCACGGAAAAAACGAATATGCGTTTTCATAGTGTTCCAGTGTATATAATTCTTTTGACTACAGGGGCGGTCGGGTAGCCTCGTGGTTAAAGCTTTCGCTCGTCACGCCGAAGACCAGGGTTCGATTCCCGACATGGGAACAATGGTTGAACCCCATTTCTGGTGTCCCCCGCCGTGATATTGCTGGAATATTGCTAAAGGCGGCATAAAACCTCACTCGCTCTTTTGGCAACAGAATACCCCAGTGAAGATTATGGTTGGAATGGGTCTTCAGCAACCCATGCTTGTAAAAGGAACAGGATCGGGTGTTCAGACTCGCCGACTTAGTTGATGCACGTCATCGTATCCCAATTGCTTATGACAGTCACTGGACTCGATTGTTTACAGACCGCTCTCATATATCTGGGTAATTGTAGAGTGCAAACAAACAATAGAATATTCACAAAGTTGATCTCGGAAATACATCATCCGAAGGGGGTGGCCCAGTCGTCTAAGGAATCGCAGTGTTCTGTGCTGGTTGTTCCCCTTAGGGGTGACAGATTTCGATTTTCGTGGGTTCGAATCCCATATTCGGCCTGATTATGATCCTTGGGTTTGTCTGCACCATACCAGTGCTCATGGGTTTCACCTTCAGGCCGACCAAAGAAAACCAGCAGCGAACAACCAAGCTATGGAATATGTACACACCTTCGATAGAAAGAGCCATACAAATTACAAACAAGACAACCCCCGTAAGTTTTGTATCGTAATGATTAAACTTTATGGGGATTGCCATCTTTGTAAATTGTGTAAATCCAACGTTGAAGGTGAATTTCATTGTTTCGACAGTGACAAATTATACACAAAAGAAGTTAAAGAACACACGATGTTTTCATACGACTATAGTTAATCTGTCGTGGCTTGGTGTTTTTTATTCCTCCCCGAACAAATCCCCCCCGCCCCCATATTCCAAACTCTGCATCTGAGTTGGCGACTTATGTTATAAATAGTATATTTACGGTTGAAAAGCCGACAGTCGAGACAAGCGTTAGCACAACTGGATCTTATGATAAATTAGTTAATGAAGACTTGATGACACTTTACTGCATCATTGTAGTTTGATACAACCGGGTCCATGGCATTGCTCAAGACCACCGCCCCACATATACCCATCGCACAAAACAATCCCACCCCTGCCCCGCGCTCAGAGATAACCCAGTGATACCAACCGTTGACGAGTTGGACGAGAGCTTATTAAAATACTTAGGGTGAGTCATACTGGTTTGGGTCTTTATTTACGATGGTCTCAGTTAAAAGGGGGCTTTTGGAAAGCAGTCGGTGCCCTTAGTGTAGGGCTGAGGGCGAAGTAACTATCACCTTAAATATTCCCTTTAGGTTTAGGTTAAGGGCCTCTGTGAAAGCGGCTCCGGTGCCTAGTGGGTTCTAAGAAAAACATTACGGTTATTTGAAGCTTGAATCATTGGGTTTTTTATTTTTTAAAAAGGCCATGAACACATCGGTTTCAGGTACATTCCTTCAGCTGGTTTGGAGAAGACGAAAGTTAACGGACACACACATGTACACGAGGTCACACAGGCAGACTGCCGAAAATGGCGACTAGGCTTGTCGTAAGAGGCGACAAACGGGATCTGGTGGTCAGGCTCGCCGACTTGGTTGATGCATGTCATCGTATCTCATTTGTGAAGTTCGATGCTCATGTCAATCACTTGATTGTCTGGTCCAGACTCGATTATTTAAATCACTAATTCAACATAATTCAACCTGACGAATTTGTATAGTCCATATCAAACAGTGCGTCACACAGCAGTAAACACATACGACAATTTACACCATGAAAACCCGTAAAAAGGATATTTGTACGGAAGATGGCCATATCTTGGGTAACGCCAAGCAAAAGCCTGGCTGGACAATACTTAACAAGCAGGATCCGAATACGGGGAGCACTACAGACAGGGTTACCTGTCATTCTGCATTCTTGTAATTCACGGAATCGGTGTAATACCATCTTCCCGAGGCAAGGGAGTAATTGACTTTAAAAGTCCAGTTACCACCCTTGCCGAACTAAGCTGGAATTTCCAAGCTCGATTGTAGCGCCACCAGTTGCTATTACGAGTTATGTCCCTTCAATGTGCCCCATACAGACCAATCAGATTCCATCTCTCATATCACTTGCATTTGCTTCCAAGAAAATAATCAATAATCTGGAGATCTATCAATAAAGAAGATCTTTATTGTAATAAAACAGGTCTGACCTCGCAAAGTGCATCATATCACTTGAGCATTTGAACATTTGAAACATTTTGGAAAATATCTGCCGACGCCTATCTGACGTACACATGCTCTGGAAATCTTGCAATCGAACGAATTCGGCATGGCAGTAGCCCTGTCGTTGAACCGGCTGTCGATATCGTTACGGAATTTTTATTGGACTATGTATAGAATCGTTAGTCCAGCCAAACTATAACTCCATGATATATTCCAGTCCAGTTCGGCAAGGGTGGAAACTGAACTTTTTAACTATCTCGTAATTATTATCGTAAGTATTCGTAATCCTCTCATGTTGAAAATAAGCGCACAGCCGTCCATAAAATTTTACAATTCTTTTCAATTTCAGGGCACAGACCTTGAAACATTCCGTAAAGAAAAGCACAAGATGAATCTAGAATATATTCTCAGCGCCCCACAATAAAGGGAAAGCTAGGAAACGGACTCTGTTCGTGCGTCATCCGGATAATGTCCATTCCACATTTTTACGCCCTCATAGCGTAGACTGGGTCGCCTACTCGGACACTCCCGCCCTGGTCGAGCGCCGAGCTGATCCCGAGAATGGGGGACTTCCCGAACCGTGGAACACATCGGATCCTGCAACACAGAACGTTATTACGTTTTTTTTTGTTTTATATCACAATCTTATATTAGTCTTGATAATGGAGGATGGACAATGCAAATCAGTTTGTGAGAGAAACATTAACATCGCACGTCGTCAGGGTGTCATGATGGATAATAAGCCAGTTAAAGAGCCAGACTTCCTGACCTCCATTGTAGTCGACTGTACGACAACCTCCAGGAACTGAGGCTGTTCCTGTACACAGCCTGACTTCCTGATGTCCACTGTAGTCGACTGTACGACAACCTCCAGGAACTGAGGCTGTTCCTGTACACAGCCTGACCTCCTAATGTCCACTGTGTCGACTGTACGACAACCTCTAGGAACTGAGGCTGTTCCTGTACACAGCCTGACTTCCTGATGTCCACTGTAGTCGACTGTACGACAACCTCTAGGTACTGAGGCTGTTCCTGTACACAGCCTGACTTCCTGATGTCCACTGTAGTCGACTGTACGACAACCTCTAGGAACTGAGACTGTTCCTGTACACAGCCTGACTTCCTGATGTCCACTGTAGTCGACTGTACGACAACCTCCAGGAACTGAGGCTGTTCCTGTACACAGCCTGACCTCCTAATGTCCACTGTAGACGACTGTACGACAACCTCTAGGAACTGAGGCTGTTCCTGTACACAGCCTGACTTCCTGATGTCCACTGTAGTCGACTGTACGACAACCTCTAGGAACCGAGGCTGTCCCTGTACATAGCCTAACTTCCTGATGTCCACTGTAGTCGACTGTACGACAACCTCTAGTAACTGAGGCTGTCCCTGTACACAGCCTGACCTCCTGATGTCCACTGTAGTCGACTGTACGACAACCTCTAGGTACTGAGGCTGTCCCTGTACACAGCCTGACCTGATGTCCACTGTAGTCGACTGTACGACAACCTCTAGTAACTGAGACTGTCCCTGTACACAGCCTGACCTCCTGATGTCCACTGTAGACGACTGTACGACAACCTCTAGGAACTGAGGCTGTCCCTGTACACGGCCTGACCTCCTGATGTCCACTGTAGACGACTGTACGACAACCTCTAGTAACTGAGGCTGTCCCTGTACACAGCCTGACCTCCTGATGTCCACTGTAGACGACTGTACGACAACCTCTAGGAACTGAGGCTGTCCCTGTACACGGCCTGACCTCCTGATGTCCACTGTAGACGACTGTACGACAACCTCTAGTAACTGAGGCTGTCCCTATACACAGCCTGACCTCCTGATGTCCACTGTAGACGACTGTACGACAACCTCTAGGTACTGAGGCTGTCCCAAACATAGCCTAACTTCCTGATGTCCACTGTAGTCGACTGTACGACAACCTCTAGGAACTGAGGCTGTCCCTATACATAGCCTAACTTCCTGATGTCCACTGTAGTCGACTGTACGGCAACCTCCAGGAACTGAGGCTGTCCCTGTACACAGCCTGACCTTCTGATGTCCACTGTAGACGACTGCACGACAACCTCTAGGTACTGAGGCTGTCCCTATACATAGCCTAACTTCCTGATGTCCACTGTAGTCGACTGTACGACAACCTCTAGGAATTGAGGCTGTCCCTGTACACAGCCTGACCTCCTGATGTCAACTGTAGTCGACTGTACGACAACCTCTAGGAACTGAGGCTGTCCCTGTACACAGCCTGACCTCCTGACCTCCATTGTAGTCGACTGTACGACAACCTCTAGTAACTGAGGCTGTCCCTGTACACAGCCTGACCTCCTGACCTCCATTGTAGTCGACTGTACGACAACCTCTAGGAACTGAGACTGTCCCTGTACACAGCCTGACCTCCTGACCTCCATTGTAGTCGACTGTACGACAACCTCTAGGAACTGAGCCCAAGGAATCCCAATGTGTGTACTGTGTGTACTGGGTGTACTGTGTGTACTGTGGAACATGAAGACTATTGGCCACTATTCAAACCGACTGCAGCCATGTGTGATTTTCGTCATATTTTTCTGTTGTTTTCTGAACTTGAACAGCATAGTTTCATATTCGTTGGTGTCTGAAGGCAAGGCTCTGCTTAATGGGAACGTGTTCAAGGGGGACGTTAAGTCTCCGTTCGGACGATGGTTGAAGTTGCCACATGGTAAAGAAAGAAGTGAAGTCTCCACACGTTCGATGGTTGCAGTTGGCACATGGTAAAGAAAGAAGTGAAGTCTCCACACGTTCAAAGGTTACAGTTGGCACATGGTAAAGAAAGAAGTGAAGTCTCCACACGTTCGATGGTTACAGTTGGCACACGTCTCCGCGCCGCCAGTTGTTGGACAGGAAATAGTCACCATGGAGCCATGTCGGAAACTGTATCATTATATGCAGTCATCGGGTGCTTTCAAACGGTATCTGAAGCTATCACGATATGACCAAACTTGCTGGTACGATCTCCCGTCAATGGCGTGTTCATGTGCAGGTCCAGCCGTTTCATGACAGCTGTAGGGTCAATTGTTCACTTTGTGATAAAAGCACGATACTTGGCACAGTTGTAGATAATGACATATTTTCATATATGGGGCCACCAAAACAAATTCAATATGGTTGCCAAATCCAACATGGCCGCCATGGAGGAATGAAATTCTAATATATCTCATGACCCACAACCTAAATATATAAGGAAAAATTTGAAAAGTATTTACCCAACATTACATCTGTAAAGTAAACAATTTTATCACAATAGACTATCTGTGTTGATTTAGGTAATCTAAAGTGTGAAACAAATATAAAAATATGTATTTCTTACTTTTTCGTATACTTTATTTTTAATCTGATGGAAATGATATCATCTATTAACAGTGGTGAAAACTTACGTCCTCAGAAAGTCCAGTGGCTTGTTTTCCTTAATCCGTTGGCCGGTTTTGAAATCAATGTTAACTTTTATACATCTGAAACATGTCAATAGTGAGATGCATGGTAAATCCTTGTAATAGATAGGGTCGCACAACACTAAAACCATCACTTAGATCATTTTACTCATAATTTAATACCAGAAAACACAGAACTAGGTATAGTGAGTGAGTGGGTGAGTTGGTTTCACGCCGCTTTTAACAGTATTCAAGTTATATCACGGCGTGTCAGCTTAATGTGGGAGGAAAGCCCGAAGTGATGCAGGTCTCAGACGTTTACCTCTTCGGTGAAACCCGCGAGCACGGGTATGGTGCTGACTAACCTAGAAAAATAATCGGGGCGAACCGGGATTCGAACCCACAATCATAGGTTTCTGGCGTGGCCAAGGGACGCAAGTCTGCACATGGAATCGCGGTGCCTTAGACGACTGGGCCACCCGTGCCCCCAGAACTAGGTATACTTCGTTTAAGGTTATCATAGCCTCACAATGTGACCAGCAACTTGAGTGAGTGAGTGGTTTCAGCCCTGCTTTAAACAGTATTTTAGTTACAACTCGCTGAAGTAACCAGATGGTATCGGTAAGAGTGGAACCGTTATACTCCAAATGTGGTTACCCAGGCAACAATCGCTTCGTCTAGGAGGCATACAAAATGGTACCATTCCAAATAGGTTTCAACCGGATATATCGTTGGTTAATACTGTTTTAAACCGAAAAAAAACGGAAAAAATGATTTTCGATGACAAACATAATCTCACCCTTGTCTGTTGAAATCAAATGTATTAATATTTGTCATTAACAGTTATCCTCTGGGTTTTGAACCTTTATCGACCTGTGTTAATATATTTCTTTTTAAAAAAACACTCGGGGGTAATTATCTTACCACAATCCTATACTACATTCTACATTCTATTCTACAATCCCCATGTTTCCTGTAACCTGAACAGCCGCCAGGAGCGCCCATAATCAGTTGTCCAAATCCCACATTCGTTCCGGGGTTTTATCCTCTCCGTCATCGTACCTGTGATCTTGGGTTTCACGGGGGCACGGGTGACCCAGTCGTTTAAGGCGCCGCGATTCGCTGTGCAGAGTTGCGTCCCTTTGGCACGCCCGAAACCTATGATTGTGGGTTCGAATCCCGGTTCGCCCCGATTATGTTTCTAGGTTTGTGAGCACCATACCCGTGCTCGTAGGTTTCACCGAGGTAGTAAACGTCTGAGACCTGCATAACTTAGGCTTTCTTCCGACATTAAGCAGACACGCGGCTTTAAAATCATGTTCGTTGAACAGGCTGAGTTTGTTTTAGGTTCGCCCACTTATACACACCTCGGGGTACAATACAATGTCCGGAGCACGGCGTTGTCCCCGATCTTTACCGACTGCCACTCGTCCTGAAACACGACATGGCGCATTCGTCACCACTCGCCTCTTTCCGTAACATGCAAGAAGGTTCGTCCCCTTATCGATGAATGTAATGTGGGAAAATACGACAAACCAATCAGAATGCGCGTATGACTCGTAAAGAATCCCTCAGAAATCATTCGTCACCACTAGCCCCTTTCCGTAACCTGCAAGATGGTCGGCTTGTCACGGAATAACACGAGTTAGTCACGAATGCTCAGAAATATGTTTTGATTTAACACATGTCCTGCATCTAAAAATATACCCTAGATACAGTAAAAAAAATCCAATCATACTGTAAAAATGTAGTAAGTCCAGATGTGTTTTAAATAGCAGCTGGAATATATATGACATGAGGGACATATATGTGAATCATTAGGCAACGAGTTGACAATTCTTTTAATTATGCCCGTTTGCGCTCAGACGGAACCCAGTCGCAAAAATGGGGCACGAGTCGCTGTTCAGCTTGTCCCGGAATAACACGAGTTGGTCACAATAGACATGGCGGTTAAATCACACAGCACACTGAAGCATGTCTGTATTAAAGGTATCCAGCTCGTTCTTAGAAGTCATCCGGTCTCTAATAAATGTATTCAACTCTTTCTAAGATGTCCGCCGGTCAGAATTAAAAGTATTCAACTCATTCTAAAATGTCTACCGGTCTACATTAAAAGTATTCACATCGTTCAAAAATGTCCGCCAGTCTACATTAAAAGTATTCACATCGTTCAAAAATGTCCGCCGGTCTACATTAAAAGTATTCAACTCATTCAAAAATGTCCGCCACTAAAAGTATTCAACTCTTTCTAGGGTAGGACGTTTTCAACCTATATGACTTCCTGTGACTGTCAAGAAGAAGAAGGGGTTCTTTCTGTCGCCCTTGCTGAGCGAACGTCAGTCGTCAAATGCGACGCAATACAGAGTTGCGTTTCTCAACATGCCAGGATCCTATATTTGTGGTTTCCATGTGTTCACCCACTACAAAATCCAGGGATAGATACGACACACTGAGATACTGAGCTTACCTCGTCGTATGGTCGGCTTCCCTTGACCACGATGGTCGGTCTGAAGCTCTGGAGGGAGAGAGGCTCCTGCAGCTGCTCGTTGACCGCCGCCTGGGACGTCTCCGACATCAACAGGTAGGCACAGAAGTCGCTGTACGCGGCCTGACAACATGGAACTCGAGTGTTACAGGGCAGTCTGACAGACAATCAACCACTGATCTGACATCACCTTGTCGTGTGTCATTAGCCACTAAAGTGTTATCCAACACCCACCTGACATCACCCACTTACCTGTTATCCGCCATCTAACATCACCCAGTTACCTGGTATCCGCCATCTAACATCACCCAGTCACCTGTTATCCCCACCTGTAATCACCCAGTCACCTGTTATCCCCACCTGACATCACCCAGTCACCTGTTATCCCCACCTGTAATCACCCAGTCACCTGTTATCCCCATCTGACATCACCCAGTCACCTGTTATCCACCACCAACCTGACATCACCCAGTCACCTGTTATCCGCCACCTGACATCACCCAGTCACCTGTTATCCCCACCTGTAATCACCCAGTCACCTGTTATCCCCACCTGACAACACCCAGTCACCTGTTATCCCCACCTGTAATCACCCAGTCACCTGTTATCCCCACCTGGCATCACCCAGTCACCTGTTATCCCCACCTGTAATCACCCAGTCACCTGTTATCCCCACCTGACATCACCCGGTCACCTGTTATCCCCACCTGTAATCACCCGGTCACCTGTTATCCCCACCTGGCATCACCCAGTCACCTGTTATCCACCACCCACCTGACATCACCCAGTCACCTGTTATCCACCACCTGACATCACCCAGTCACCTGTTATCCCCACCTGTAATCACCCAGTCACCTGTTATCCCCACCTGGCATCACCCAGTCACCTGTTATCCACCACCAACCTGACATCACCCAGTCACCTGTTATCCGCCACCTGACATCACCCAGTCACCTGTTATCCCCACCTGACATCACCCAGTCACCTGTTATCCCCACCTGTAATCACCCAGTCACCTGTTATCCCCACCTGTAATCACCCAGTCACCTGTTATCCCCACCTGTAATCACCCAGTCACCTGTTATACCCACCTGACATCACCCAGTCACCTGTTTTTCACCGCCCACCTGACATTACCCAGTCACCTGTTATCCATCGCCCACCTGACATCACCCAGTAACCTGTTATTCACCACCCACCTGGTCGCCAGCAATAGCCGGACTCCCCCAGGCCTTCTTCTCCTGTGTGATGTCCCTCTTCTGTAGCCCGGGGGCTGAGTGGAGCAGCCTGACCCCCTCCCGCCCCAGGTACTTGCTGAACCAGCTGGCTGGTTCCTCCCCACAGTCCAGACCCTCGAGCTGGGTCTTGCCGCTGCTGAAAGAATAGGGTGGGTTACACAAGGGATATATACAGACAAATAACACCAAGGGTGGCCGCATAGAGATGCGTGTCCTAACTGGTCTGGGGTTCGAATCCGAGGTTTGACGATATTGTCGTCATTTCACCCATGAAAAAGTCTACCTTCTGCGCCCTGTTGGGTTTGCCTCCCATACCCAGCTCAAAGGCGGATCCAGCAATTTTAGCAATCCAATAAGGGTCCAAAATATCAAAATCATCTCTCAGATAATTTTAATCATCATACATTTGTTTTTCATAAAGGGGGATGGGGCTACTCACTGATAAACCTCTCGTGTAATATTGTAGGAATAACACTGAAATATAATACACAATACTAACACAACATTAGTGAGTTGGGTTTAACACCGCTTTTAACAGTATTACAGTTATGTCTAGGCGTGTCAGCTTAATGTGGGCAGAAAGCCCGAAGTGATGCAGGTCTCAGACGTTTACCTCTTCGGTTAAACCCAAGAGCACGGGTATGGTGCTGACAAATCTAGAAACATAATCGTGGCGACCCGGGATTCGAACCAACAATCATAGGTTTCTGGCGTGCCCAAGGGACGCAACTCTGCACAGCGAATCGCGGCGCCTTAGACGACTGGGCCACCCGTGCCCCCCAATACAACATTATCAGCATTATCTCCTGCACTCTACCCTCAAAATCCAACACAAGCTCTCCGAGAAGCGTAACGACCATAAAGTACATTGATTTCTGACAGAAAGAAACAAATATATTCCATACAAAATATTATTGGGAAAGATTCTGTTCTTCATTGAAGAATACAAAAATGTATAACTGTGAGAATATAATTCTAAAACCAACCTGAGAATAACTGTCAATCATCCCCATACCACACAAGACCAAGGAGCGTCCATTCCAATTTGGAATGAACGTTGGATTGCTTTGGAAAGATCGCCCATTCCAACCTTTCCAAAGCTTGGAAGGATCGATCTTTACGGAAAATCCAAAATTAGATTGGCAACATTTCCAAACATATTTCCAACACAGGAAATGTTTGGAATTGTTTGGAAGTATGTTTAAAAGGAACAAGTTAAAATATGTTTTATTAGTAATTTGAACAATAAAAAGACTATGAATTATCTATTGAGTTTAAACTATATATAATAAATAAAAAACTTATCTCAAACATTCACTACTTGTCTGTCTAGCGAGGAGCTTTTACAGTCGCATTCTCCCTAAGGTGAAAGAGAGACCCGCACTTGACTCGACAAGACAATAATAGATTAAGTTTTCGGCTGGATGGCGGCTGCCATTTAATTACAAAACAGACAGTCGTCTAGACGGCTCACATGTAAGTGCGCCGACATGTGCCTAAGATCATAAAATGGACAATCTTTGGTAACATCTAATTTATTGTTGTCTCACGCCAGAGCTTTGAATAATTCTGTTCACACAACAATTGGAATTCAGGAAGTTATCAATAATTGTTTAACTTAACATAAGATAAGATAAGTTGTTCACAATATAATATTATCATGTCAGGACGTGCTACAGTCAAAACCATATATTTTAAAATCAATTTAATGACAGACTATGATTTCCAAGTCCCGATTATCAAATCAATGAGTTATCAGTTTCACCACATGTGCACAGACAGCCTATACTTATATATATATTCTCCAGTTAAAGTCCTATCCTCTTATCAAAAAATAATCTGTGAGAGTGATCATCATTAACGAAACGAATACAGAACAAATGAAGAATCAGATGCATACATTTATTGCCATGCTTCATTCATCACGAAGCAGATTTACATACATTTTCGAATAGCACTTAAACTTTTACCATTGTCCATATTGACATAATAATATATACATATATACAAAACAGGATATGCATTGAATAAATATTTACCATAATATGGATTTCCGAATATATAAACGACTTCAACGTTGATATTTCAGACAAAAACAAAGTCTCCTGTCTTTTAACGTTCAGGGGGAAAGGGTTTGCTTTCACAAATGAACATTTGTTTTCACCAATTGACAATCAAATCAAGCCCAAAACACGAAAAATACATATATATGGTTAGCGACCGTCATTATACAGCGAGGGGGGAAATTCGTCTGCTCTAACTGCCTTCACAAAAACATTCAAGCCCTTAATTACCGCGGCAGCTGGGCATTGCCTCAAAGTCGGGCCGGGCCGGGCCAAGACGGGCCAAAGTGTTATTGGCTAATTACTTCATTATCGGCGATCATACCTACATATTATTGATGCAACATACACACATGACATTACTGAACAATCACCAACCAAAAACGTGCAACATAATTAGGTATTTCGGAGTAAATCGCTTGAAAACCAGACAGTGGAGCTGTGTGTAAGCGTCGCTGATCTAGGTAACATGTAAAAGAGCAATCGTTAAGCGAAATAAGATTTGAAACGTATCAAATACTTCTAGCTTTCGCGATACAAATTTCCATCTGTCGGCATAGCGTTTATATTTATAGGATAGTACTATATATCTATGTAAATACCATTTATTAATGTCACTGCTGATCGTGTATAAAGCAGACACGTTGGTTAAAGTAGACCTCTTCTCCCCATACTCTCAACAGTCTCACAAGTGTTCGGTCCGACTTGGCCAGGGCTGTCAAAATCAACTTAAAACACACAGATTTATCATCAAATGTATTTACATCTATAGATCAGTGTTATATCTACCTATATACCACTTTATAATGCCATAGTGTACCGCATTTAAAGAAAACCGAACCGTTAAAGTCAAACACTTTTACTGTATTTTCATAAGAAAATCTCTGTTAGAAGTGTTGGGTCCGACTTGGCCCGAGCTATCAAAATCAACTTAAACCTCACAGATGTAACATGAAATGGGTTCACATCTATCGATTAGTATTTTATCTACCTATATACCACTTTATAATGTCACAGTACATCGTATTTAAAGAAAACAAGGTGCTCAAAGTGAAGCCCTTTCCCATCTACATTCTCAACATAGTCTCTATCAAAAGTGTTTGGCTTGTGGTGGGTCCGACTTGGCCCGGGCTGTCAAAATCAACTTTAAACACACAGATGTATCATCAATGTAGAGGGAAAAGGGCACGCTTTCTTTACATACCGCGATCTGAGACACTATAAAGTGGTATATAGGTAGATATTATATTATTTTCTCTTGGAACATCTATAAGATGTACAGCTACATGTATTTACCAAAAGAAAGAATCTAGGTTTTTACTTCATTAAATAAACATTCACTCATTGAACATCTCCAACAGTTTTGTCCATGTTGAGATCCACTGAAATGGTTAGTTCACTTGTTACATTTATATAGAACAGAACGATATTTGTGATTAAATATGATTGTGGATACATTTACCTTGGCTATATTTTAAAATTCAACAATGGCTTGCGTGTGGTTTGTTTGGAAGCATAAAATCAAGTATTGTTTGTAAAAACCATTTGTGTGTGTTAATATATAAGTTTTTTAAAGGAAGAGGTGTTTGAATAAATAATTATTTGTGTGTTCACAAACCCCTATCATGTAATTATATTTTCCTGAATAACATGTTGTTTGCATGTAAAATAAATGTCCCTGTTTACCTATGTAGAGAGTCAATTAGCGAAATAAATCTGAGTAACAGACTGTGTATTATAGATCCATAGAAATACGATTGCATAGACGATCAATTCAGAATACAACAGGTGTAAGGTGTAGCTAATTGAATTGTATCTCGATGACTATTTGAAATGTATTTCGCAGGTAATAATCAATAAACATTGTGACAGAAAAACAAGTGAAGGATTGAGTTGAATTTTATTTTTGCGAAAAAGGTCCGTGGTTTCTGTGGGTGAAACTAAGTTTGACAATGTTGCAAATGATCACTTTCTTTGACTTCATTACAGATTCCTCAACCTGTATCGAGGAGAATTGTTTACAGTTAAGTAAAATTCTAATTAAGATTTCTTAAAGCTGTCACGGTGGCAAATTCAAACTTCGATATCATGGTACACAGTTCTATTGTAAAGTCATATTGGGAGTTCGAGATGGCGCTATGTATTTTTATCTCGAATTTGAAATAAGGGGTTAAATTTATATGCTCTTTTGTTTAACGCCACACTCAGCAATATGCCAGCTATATGACGGAGGTCGTGCAAATAATCAAGTCTGGACCTGACAATGCAGTGATTGACATCACGAGCATCAATCCACACAATTGGGATAAGATGACATGCATCCAATCAACCAAGTCAGCGAGCCTGACAACCGACCCGATCCCGTAAGTCGCCTCTAACGACAACCGCAGTCACCTTTTAATACAAGCATTGGTTGCTGAAGATCTGTTCTAACCCTGATCTTCACAGGTCCAAATCTATATGTATTTTTATGGTGAGGCGGTCGTGATCGGAGAATAGGTTCGAGAGTTCGGTACACACATTCTTGGTCAATATCTCTCATGTTGTGGATGATAGGGATTTTGTCATGTTTTGAGGAAATGTCATCACTGTCATGCTTTTGATGGTACACAAAACGTAAGCTTTACCTCGAACATGCTAGTTCCGGTCACAAAATATATGCTTTACCTTTTACTGATTTTTGTATTAATAACATTACAAGGTTTCTCAAGGTTACAGACTCCAAGGATTCATTAAATTGCATTTTGGTTTAAACATATTTTGTTCATTGAAATGAGTTGGGATTGGTGAACAAGCTTTACAGCTTATGTTAACACCGCTCCCATACAACATAATTACATATTGAAATGAAGGATGTGACGTCATCGATATAGACATTATTTAAATAATATGTTTGTACATATTACATCAAATACAAATACAAAGTGAACATAAATAGAAAGTTACAGCTTGTGTGTGTCTAACAAGTCGTTTGTAACAAAAGTAATAGTCAATCATGAGGTTATTGTCCGGTTAATTTAATTATTAATTTTAAAAAGTGCATTTTAAGCACCTAAAATTGACAACTAACACC